GCACTTGTGCTGCTGAGCTATATCCCTGGCCCAATATCAGTAATATTATTTATGCCTAATAATATATAAATATTTTATAACTTAATACATCTATTGTGTGTTGCAGCAGACATACTAAATATGTCCCTCTGGCTGATGCTGTTAACTGGGGTTTATTTTGAGGGCAGGACTTTATTATGATTATCCTAAAAAAATCAGGCTAGGGCTTGTTTTTTGGTTAGGTCTTATTTTCAGGAAAATGTAGTACAGTCTTTAAAAAACAATCCATTTGTATACTATTCTAATGTCCTTTTTGTTTTCTTTCTTTCTTACCTATTTGTAAAATCTTAGCATTGGACAGGATCTTATAAGTTCAGTTAACAAAATGACTCACTTAATTGAAAGAAACCTTTTTCTGGCACCTGTGACAGATGGGCACTCATGTTCTGAGTGAATATTTTTGGTGATACCAGCCACCCTTTTTATCTGCCACTTTCACATTTGTGGGTTCAATCCAGTATCAAAAATATTAGAAAAAATTACATCTGTACAGAACAATTGCTGAGTTTTTGTTATTCCTCACAGTATAGCATAACAGCTATATACATGACATTTACATTGTGTTAAGTATCATAAGTAAACTAGAGATGGTTTAAAGCATATAGGAAAGTATGTGTAGGTTTTATGCAAATCTGTGCCATTTTATATGAGGGACTTGAGTATCTGTGGGTTTTGATATCTGTAGAACATTCTGAATCTAAGTCACTGAGGGACAGTGATGATAAGCTCAGTTCTTTTTTTTTTTTTTTTATCGGTTCCGGGGATTGAACTCAGGACCAAACAGTTGCAAGGCAGGCGCTTACGCTGATGAGCTAAATCCCCAGCCCTTGATAAGCTCAGTTCTTAAGTACCACATTAAATTATTGGATATCTCTACTCACTAGGAATTTCTTTTTATCTTAGTGAAAAATGTCTTTGTAATTTCCATGGACTAATGAACAGTGCCCTTAGCAATCACATGGGATGTAGCAGCTTTTGAAATTTGTGCAGGCGAGAGTCATATCCCTTCTTGGATTCTTTTTCGTGGGCTAAACATCCCTCTTTCTTTAACTTATGATATACAATAGTCTTGAATTCCATCATTATCTTCTATCATTTTTCTTTCCCAGCATTTATTATTCTTAAACTGCCTAGAACAGAATGTAAGATTTAGGATGCACTATAAATACTGTGAACAGAGGAATTGTACTTTCTATCATATTCTAGATGGAGAATGTAGTCTTAAGTCTAAGAAGTCATGCTGTGCTTGTCTTTCTCAGTATGGTAGCCTACCACTTTCCATAATGCCTACAACATTGTAATGTTCTCAAACTGTACAGTAATGAGATGAGTCCTCTGGTCACTATCATTTTAGAAATGCAAGTAAAGGCAGCTGTAATCCCAGCATTCAGAAGGTTGAGGCAGCAGGATCATTGTGAGTTTGAGACCAGCTTGGGCTACAAAGTGAGCTCAAGGCAGCCTAAACTGCGTAGTGAGACCCTGTCTCAAAAAGACCGGAAAAAAACAACAACAAAAAAAGAATTGTATATTATTCATTTATGCCAAACTAAAACTTTATACCTGGATGGCACCAAGTAAACATTGATAGATGCTATCTAAGCTAATTTGAATAGTATTACCAATAATTCATTAAACTTCATTTTTAAATATTCGTGGTAAGGGCAGTTTTCTTAATGCTGTCAAATTCTAGTGTTTGTGCAAAGTTTTCTACCCAGAAAGCATCAAATATAACATAACTGTACTGATGTTAGAAAGAGATTTTTTTTTTAAAAAATGAAAGATCTCATTTGAGTTTTTCCAATCTGCTCAGAATGGGGTTTTTAAAAAATCTAATTTGCTTAAAGTTAACAGATGCACACTATTAAAACAAGTGTCTCTTTGATACCATATGGGATATAATTCTTAGGATTTGGAGGATTAGGATTGAGAAGGCGTGGACACTCATCACTTTGTCTTAAGTGCTGTGTTAATTTTTTTTATCAAAATACTTTTTTGACATTAAGTTAAATATGTACTTTCTTTTGGATTTTTGTATCTAGAATGTAAACAGTAGCATTCACACAAGAAGAATTAGTTTGTAGAGCATTTATCTATTTTTACTGCTTGACTTCTTTGTGTATTTTTCCCATTACCTATTCTTAACACTTGTGATATGAAGAACTTGATTGTATATATAACTGGTTTATAAGAACAAGCTTATTTGAGCATTTAATAAATGGTCTATAATTTTTTTCTTTTTACTGTTTTAAAAATTTGTCTAGATCAACCTTAGAGCTGACAGAAGATTATTGGTTTTATTTGTATGGTTTATGGGTTTCCATTTTAAGTTGCTCTAGCCCCATCCATCTCTCTGTTGCCCATAGTCCCTCCTTTTTTCCCTTCCCTGCCTTCTCACTGTCACTAATAACACTGCTACCCATCTGTGTATGGATAGGAAACACACATGCAAACTGTCTTTCCATGTTTATTTTTTCTTGTGTAGACTGAGTTGTACCAACCGCTGATTACTGAATTGTTTAAATTCCTGATTGTTTTCTAGTATTTCATATATGATTTTGCCTAAAGTTGTTTTGATATTTTTTCTTTCACCCTTCTGCTTGTGTCTATTTTTATTTTTATTTTTAAGACATGGTCAACTTTTTAAATGTATTTTTGAGAGAACTTGGTTTTAGTTTGTTATATAGGGAACTTTTAACGTAGAAATGGTTTCTGTTCCTTAGGGGAATGATGAAGCATGTCTAAAATTTATGGAAATAATGCTGCATCCTCAGCGTTTCTTGCTTATTTTTGCAAAGGAAATATAAAGTGAAATGGTGCTCTCATATAAGATCGTTACTGTTAGAATAATTGGAGGTTTGTTGCCTGGATTTTCTTTCTGTGTGAATTTTAATCCTGCTTAGCACTGGACATCAGATGAGTGTGTTCAGGGTGATATGGTTCTAGTCACCAAATTACTTTGTGAATTTAAATTTCAATTTTAAGATCATCTGATTCCAAGGTATAATTAAGATAATGCTGCTAACACTCCTACAATGGGCCCGATACGGAGGTACACGTTAGTTTCCTCTTACTAAATTGAAGTGAATTCTTTAAAAAAAAAACTGTTATTAATATCTATTTTATACACATACTATTCTAGGCATTGAATATATGGGGATTAAAAAAAGACAAGACAGTCAAAGTCTCTGATCTCAGGAAATTAACCTCTTGTGGGAGGGACAAGAAAAAGGGGCTACAAACCATGTTAACTTAATAACTGCAGATAATGAATGCAGTAGTGCTCTGAGGTTGTTATCTAAGGGAATGAGGTCCCCTGCTTTAGCTAGAGTGTGTGTGGGAGCCGCTAAGGGAGGTAGCATCTGAGCTGAGAGAGTAATGATGAGAAGGGGGAGCCTTCTAATAGGAGAAGAGCATCTAAAGAGTAGCAAACGTCAGAGGCCTGAGGAGAAAATGAACTAAGTGTGGCTCATCAGTTTAGATTGTCAGTACCCGAAGAATGTTACCTAGTCCAAATGGTATAGAGAAGTTGCAGTGGCAGCGTAAATGCTGCATTTTGAGTGACCGACTGGGAACACTTTTAGGTTTAACAATGAATCAAAGTATAGAATCGTTGATAGTTAACTCCATTGCCTGGGGTTTTATAATTCTCTTTGTGTGTTGGTTTGTGACATGTTCTGGCTTTCATCATAAGACTTGACTAAATTGCACCAGAATTTTGAGATCAAAAGACCAGAAACCAACAAGTTTGAAATATGTGAGGTCTGCACATATTTGTCCTCTCCTACATGCTGATTCACAAAAACTAAATTTACTTTATAAAATTTTGTTTACTGTGTTTCTGTTTTTCTCTGTTGCAATAGTTTCGTTTCCTACTTTCAAAAATGCTGAGTTTTCAAAATCATGTTTATCAGAAGAAAAAAAAGTTTCAAGGAACTTAAAAATGAGATACCTAAAGAAAAAAAAGATACCTCCAACGAGGAAGTGGGGAGGGATTTTGGTGTTACAGAAATTTAAAAGAGTTGTGCTTAACTGTGTACTTGCCATTGATTTTGTCAAGTGAGATAACAAACAATTAAAATTCTACTCATTCTTTAAAAAATTTTTTTATTAGTACATATTTGCCATATATAATGCTCACATTCATCATTGAGAATTTGTATCTGTGCATAATGTATCTAAATTCTTTTTCCCCCTCATTTCCTTCCACCTTTCTTCTTTTCCCCTGTTTATAGGAGCTTTGTTTACATTGGTTTCCTTCCATTCTTTGTTTTTTAAATCCCTTTTTGCCTTTACACATGTTCCTAATAGAGAAGTCCATTTGTTTTAAGAATTATAAAGAAGAGCAGTAAAGACTTGGGGAGCTTTTTAATTTAATCATCTTTTGGAATGTGGAGAATTTTGCAGAGAACAAGTCCTGCAAGTCTTATTCCTTCAGATTGATACCCTCAAAGGATAATATACAATAAGATCCTTTGCCAGGGGTGGTGGCATACTTCTGTAATTCCAGCACTCAAGAGGCTGAGGCAGGCAGATCGTTGCAAGTTCACGACCAGCCTGGGCTACAAAATAAGCCCAAGACCAGCCTGAACCCATAACAAGACTGTCTCAAAAACACAAAAACAAACAAAAACCAAATAAGACCCTTTTTATGGGAAGAATAAAGCTATATTTGCTTGCTGTATATAATTCTGAGCATCAAACTTAATATGGTATATTTTACTAGATGGCCTCAGTAGATATTATTTTCAGCTAATCTGTGTGAATCTTTAGTGACTCAAGGAATTAATAATTCATTCAGGATGTATAAGTAAAATATTTTTTGTCATTTAATGGAAAATCTCACATTTAATGGATTGAAATTATGTTCTTTAGTAAGTACTTAGATTTTTTTTTTAGAACTTGGGGTTTTTGCTTACAATGTCTTTTACTTATAAGAGTTCCTCTTTCCATCTTTTTACTAGCAAAATCATGACAACAGAGAAGAGTTTAGTGGCTGAGGCTGAAAATTCTCAACACCAACAACAGAAGGAGGAAAGTGAAGGAGCCACAAATTCAGGCCAACAAGAAACTCAGCTGGAAGAGGCTTCCCAAGCAGCAGCTGAGGGAGATAACCAGTGTGAGCAGAAGCTGAGAGCATCCAATGGAGACACTCCTACCCACGAAGACTTGACCAGGAACAAGGAGCGGACGTCTGAAAGCAGGGGCCTGTCTCGACTGCTCTCCTCATTTCTCAAAAGGCCCAAATCTCAGGTCTCTGAGGAAGAAGGCAAAGAGGTAGAGTCAGATAAAGAAAAAGGTGAAAGAGGACAGAGAGAGATAGAGTTTGGAACCAGCCTAGATGAAGACATCATTTTAAAGGCCCCAATTGCAGCTCCTGAACCTGAGCTCAAAACAGACCCATCCTTGGATCTTCATTCATTAAGCAGTGCAGAAACACAGGTAAGGACGTGTAAATATGTGGAAGTGAGCATAAGGAAGGCAGATTATGTTTCATGTTTTATTGAAAACATATGGTTTTATTTCTTACCAGTTAATTGTCTTGGGCATTGATAATAAATAGCATAAAGCTTTGGAGTTTCTGCTAAAAAGAAATTACTGTGGTGATTTGATTTTTAAAAGGATATACCTTATAAATCAAAGAAAAGAAAATGAAAGACAAGTATCAAGTGAGTTAATCAGCTAATATATCGTCTTGCTTTAATAATGGAACAAGTTAAGATTTGTAATGAGCAGGCAAAAAAGAAGTAAGATGGTTTGGATTCACTTTGTTGGAGTTATTAGCAATAGGATAGTTATCAGCTAATGTGGTCCTTTTATGGAAATCTCCATAAAAGTGCTGCGATGGATTTAAGCCTTCCAAGGGTATGAAATAGATTTGCACCGTGCCCTCGCTTCTCGGCCTTTTGGCTAAGACCAAGTGTAGATCTGAGCCATGCCTACCTTATTGTGGTATCTTCTCTAACTAGATTACATTGCCATGGAGTGTAAGCTGTAGGAAGTGTATGAGGAAGTTTAGATCATCTATCACCTGTGTAATATTTATCAGTGGAGGGCTTTCATTTTGTCACAAAGCAACTAAACTAAATGAGTTGTTCATTTACCAGAAAACATGGGAAGTATTAGTGTTGTGTAGCTACTTTTTGGGACTCTTGTTTTCAGCTTTATTACCTACAAATTTAGAGTTACTTTCAAAATAATGTTCTGAAGCATGTGAACATTATTTGCATTGTTAAATTAATGTGTGTTTCATTTATGGGTGTAAGGTTTGGGCCATCTAGATTTATGAGATTTTTCTGAAAATATTACGTGATTGTCTCCAAATAGTACTTCTATATTTATAGTGCTAATGGTAAAATTTAGGATGAAGCAGTAGTTATGCACTTGCTGTTAGTGGAACAAAGTTGAAAACAAAACACGTTGTGTAGTGTAATAGTTGTGAGTGCAGGTGGGAGTCTGCTTCTGCAGGCCAAATTGGAGAGAAGTGGCCCTTTTCACTTTGTCAATTTTCTTTTATATACAGTGGGAATAGTAATAACCACATCATTTGACAGTTGTGAAGATGAAAAGAGGTAAATACGTAAAATGTGAAATATAATAATCATTCAGTGACTATTAACTGTTATTTCCCATTTTTAAAAAATGAGCAGAAAGCAAGATTCCCAAAAAACAGTATAAGTTACAACACTAAAAGCAAAGTAACCATATTTGTATTCTCAGGAATTGCCATATAAGCTCTTCTAAAACACCTCTGAATTTAAGATTTAAAAGCTCCTATCTTAATATCATTAATTTTTAGAATACAAAATAGTTAAATTATATTGTTTTTCAGAAGACCTAGCATTTTGAAAAAAATTTTTAAACTGCTTTGACCCACTTTGCTTTATGTAAGGAAAAATTCATGTTTGTTTTTGTACAAAGATCATGGATTTGTATCAAAATCTATGAAAATAGATGATGGACAAAGTTAATTTCAGATTTAATTCAAATTTTATCAAAACTTAATTCAAAATTGAAATAAATTATATGTATTTGTCCATGATGAGTAAAAGAAATTACTATTGTTATAATTTTGAGGGAATATTAAAGAAATAAATTATTTTAGGCTTTGGAAACTGGTATGTACAATCAAAACCTGGTGGACCAGGACCTTGTGAATAAAAGTTTATTTGCCTAATCATATTTCTCTATGTATAGTGGAATATAAGTGGTGTTTTTTTCTTTTTCTGTTTTTTGAGACAAGGTCTCACTACCGAGTTCAGACTGGCCTTGAACTCACTGTGTAACCTCACCTGCCCTTGAATTTGCAGTAATTTTCTTGCCTCAGCTTCCTGAGTGCTGGGATTACCTGCATACACTACTATGCCCAGTTAAGTGGGCTTTTCCTATCCTGTTTGTTTATTTATTGGTACTAGGGATTGAACCCAGGACCTCATGCTTGCTAGGGAAGTGCTCTACCTCTGAGTTACATTCCTAGCTCATATACAGAATTTTCTAGAAGTGATTTCTATTATAGAATTTCACCAGTCTTCATTCATTAGTCTTTTTCTCTTTGGCACCAAGGTTTGAACTCATGACCTTGCACTTGCCAGGCAGGTGCTTACACCACTGAGCTAAATCCCCAAGCCCATTCATTGGATTTTTAAGAAACCATCTATCAGTTAAATTTTTTTGTTCATTCATTCAACAAATGCTTGCTGAAAATATTCCATGTATGTGGATATACTTTGATAAATTAACAACTGTTATATGGTAAAGAGGCTGAAGATCATGGATTTTGGAGACAGGCTATGTGTGATTTATTATTTGTATGATACTAGGCAAGTTACTTTAATTTCTGTGGTCTCAATTTCTCATCTGTCAAGTGAAGTTAAAAATAGTAACTGCCCTTTGGGTTGTTATGTGGATTAAATTAATTTATATAAGTAATGAGCTTAGAATTAACCCATGGTAATTGGTATGGAAATATATGGTCCCTACCCTTGTGAACTTTATATATATATATTTTTTATCAGTACTTGGGATTGAACTCACGACCACATGCTTGCAAGGCAGGTGCTTATGCCACTGAGCTAAATCTGTAGCCCCCCCCTTTTTTGTGAACTTTATACTCTAATGAGAGAGACAACTAGTAAATACAAAATAACTTCATTGTAATAAGTGTGATGAGGGCAACAAACAATATTTTTAAACATTTTTATTTAAACATTTTTATTTGCTGTACCTAATGATCACATTCATCATGGGGAATTTATACTTGTGAAAATCATGTCCTAATTCTTTTTTTTCCCATTCCCCTTGCTTCCCTTCAACTCTTAATCTCTTATCCATTTACAAAAGTTTTGTTTCCATTTTTCCTTTCCATTCTTTTTTTTTTTTTTTTTAATTGTTGGTACCGGGAATCGAACTCACGACTGACTGCATGCTTGCAAGGCAGACACTTGTGCCGCTGAGCTAAGTCCCCAGCCCCTTTTCCATTCTTTGTTGTTAAATTTGCTTTTCTCTTCTTTCCTTTTCCTCTCTTGTCTCTCTTGTTCCCCTTCCCATTTGAACGTATTCTTCATACTCCTAATATCTATTTTTTGTTTTGTTCCTTATTTACCCTTTGGGTTTTGTATACAGTGTAAACAATATGATATTTAAATATGTATATTCAATTTATTCACTTACCATTATAGTCTTGAGCTGTATCCATTTACCTAAAAATAACTCAAATTATCCTTTATAGCAGAGCAGTGCTCCTCTGCTTATAAATACCACATTTTCTTTGTCAGTTCATCTGTTGATGGGCATATGAGCTGTTTCCAAAATTTAGCTATTATAAATTGTGCTGCTGTAAACAGTGGTGTGTATATATCACTGTAATAGGATGCTTTTAACTCTTTCAGGAAGATACCTAGAAGGGGCACGGCTGGGTCAAATGGAATCTCTTGCTTTAGTTTTTTTTTTTAGGACTCTTCATACTGATTTCCATAGTGGTTATACCAATTTACACCCCCAACCAACAATGGAGAGGGGTTCCTTTTCCCCCATAGCCTCAGCAGCATTTGTTCTTGGTTGACTTCTTGATGATAGTGATTTTTTTCTGGAGTGAGATGGAATCTCAGAGTTTTAATTTAATTTCTCAGATGATGAGTGACAACAAACAGCACTAACTAGAAAATCATAGGTTGGGGACAGGACTGATGTAGCTAATGAAGACTTCTCTGAGGTCACGTCTGAGATGATTGGGAAGGCTAGGTATGAGCCTTTTAGATCACCTCTAGCAACTAATGGAGGAACCACACAACTAAATTTTTCCTACATGCCAGCCATGTATTATTTTGAATGAAAGAAATTAGTGGGGATTAATGAAAAATCTTTCAGCAGTTTTCCCGTAAGAACATGTATACCAAAGTGTCCCATTTCCTGTATTACTTTGGAAGACTTAATTATTATCATAGGAGACCCAGATTTCAATCTGTTTGTTTTTTTCTTTGAATTTTGTTTGTAGTTAACGTGATTGACTACTGGTAGAAAGGAATTGACTAGTAGTTACCTATCACATGTATTTGCTTTTAATACTTAAAATAGGTCCCAATCACCTTTCTTAGTCATTTACAAAGTTCAGTGCATATGAAAAATCACATCTTAGCTTGCAGTTCATAAGGTTTCCTTACCAAAATTGAGGAGCATGGGACAGAGGTGATAAAGTTTTAATAAACTATAATATCATGTAGTGTCATAGGGAAAATATATAATGGAGAGAAAAATAGATAAATGTCCTGTGGTTCAGCTGATTGATAGGATTCTCCCTGAGAAGTTTTGAGAATAATAAAATCTGTAGATGTGGGGGGACCATAACATCTTTTTTATAAAAATAAGTAGTATTAATTTTTACCTATACTCATTTTAATAGATTTTCTTTTTCAGTTATTTTTGTCATTGCTAGAATTATTATAGATAAGAATTATTACAGGTAAGACAAGTACAGAGCATGTTTTGTGAAATGTCTTTATTACTGCTTTGGTGATGTCATGGATATGCAGCCAGCTCAGGAAGAACACAGAGAAGATCCAGATTTTGAAACTAAGGAAGAAGAAGGAATTGAAGAGTGCTGCAAAACAGAGGTAAAAGAAGATCCTGAATCAAAAGCAGAAAGAGATTTAAAAGTTTCCCAGAAATCTGTCAGAAGACACAGAAACATGCACTGCAAGGTCTCGTTGCTGGATGACACAGTGTATGAATGTGTCGTGGAGGTGAGTCTATTCCAATTTTCAGTAGTCAGAACTTTTAACAAACTGTTTCATGTAGAGCTGGGTAAACAGTGCCTTTGCTCAAGATGACGCCTACTCTAATGACTGTTTCTGTGGTTTAAAATTAATAGTGATTTTCTGGAGATGAAGAGTACCGGTGAATTATGAATGGGTCTTATTTTCTTCAGTTTTTTCTGCCGCTCTCAAAATTTTGTGACCTAAGCATAATACACTTTTATAGTTAAAAAAGAGTTTTACTTTAAAAAGATAAATTTGTTATTTTATAGAGTACCTTTTTGTGACTAGATTTCCCAAGGTAGTGTCAACTTCTGGTATTAGGTCTAACTATCTCTATAATTACATTTGTCAGAAGAATAACTATCTGGAACTTTTCTGCTCCTTCACATCTAAAACTTAATCTATAATTTTTGTAATGTATATATTTAGCTTTAAGAGACAGAATATTAAAAATGTAAATCAAATAATGCCATTTTAAAAAGTTCTTTAATGTTTTAGGAAAGAATAAGTAATTGATTCAGAATCAAATAAAAATGTCAGAGTTACTCAGTTTCTGTTTTTGTTCCTTCAGGACAAGTTAAAATAAAACATCTAAACTGGGTATGGTGATACATGCCTGGAATCCTAGCACTCTGAGAGACTAAGAAAAATTGCAAGCTCAACCTCTGCCTGGTCAATTTAGTGAAACCTTTCCTGTCTCAAAGTAAAAAAATAGTAAGAAAAGAGCTGGGGCATAGCTCAGTGCAAAGACCCTGGGTTCAATCCGCAGTGCTTCAGAATCAAAATTAAAAAATCTATTAACTACTTTTTAAAAAAACTAGAGCAGTAATTGCCATTATGATATGCATAATATAAGAACAAGTATTGTGATTAGTAGTAGTTTTTATTGATAAAATATGCAGTTTACATATCCTTGTGTCTTAGGTGAGCAACAAATTATTTTTGAGTTGAATTTTGTCCAAATGTAACTATATGCAAACACAAATAGCCTAAATTTTGTGCTTTATTTATTAAGAGGTATTGCATTTGCTGTTAAAGTTTTAAAAAGGAAACCAAGAAAAATGTACTACTGCATATTGAAAATACCTGCTACACCTGGAAACCATAAAAGGCCTAGGGCTGTTTTGTTTTGTTTTGTTTTGCTTCTTGCCACTTGCAACTGTGGAGATGTGGAAAGCTATGATATGTTTATTTTTTTTTGACTTACCAAATTATTCATTATTTATTTAAGAATCTTTAAGTCCCTATTTTAAAATAGACCTCAAGTCTTTCTATCAAGTTAACCAATCAAAGTCTATGCTAGATTTGGCAGTCAGTCATTATTCTTTTTTGCCAAATGCATGTAAGCAGAACATGACTTTGTGTATTTTGTCCTTATCTTGAACTTTCCCAATTCCTGCTGATCTTTCTTAGATGGCGTTTGTCTTGGTCAGTTTTCACTCTGCCATTATTGGTTAATACAATCTCAGGTTTGGGAAGAAGCACTCTGAAGCTTAATCCTTCCTATATTGTTCCCTGAAAATGGCTGTGAAATTTCTGCATGAAGACACCTTTAACAAAGAGCTTCGTCTTAGGGGGAGCTCATCCAGTTTTGAACTACAGTGACGATTTCATTGCGTGAAAATGTTCCTGAAGCCTCCACATTAGTCAGAATCTGTCGTTCACAGGCAAGATCTGGCATATTCGGGGTAGTATGGCTGTAGACTTAGAGGGGTATGGCCATAGACTGTCCTGATAGCCACAGAGCACAAGTATAATCTTTCCTCTTTTCCAGCTCTTCAGATATATGAAGGTGACATAGTCCATTGAGTTTGTTCCAAGCTATTCTCTGGTAGTGATTTCAGTCATGTTCCTCTGAAAATATCTGTGTCTTCTCCTGGAACCCAACAGCTTCCATCCAGATGAAACCTCTCATATATTGCCTAGTGACTGTTCTCTCCTCCTTGGTTTATCCAACACTTTAAGTGCATGTCTGCTTCTGGGCCTTTCCACTGATTATCGCTGGGAACCTATGGTCCACTTTCTCACATTCTTGAAGTCTGTTTAATGAGACCTTCTATCTTAGTAACTTTCCTCATTGCTGGGACAAAATACCCATGACATGCAGGTCAAAAGAGGAGAGGTTTATTTGGCTCACAATTGGTGGAGTCCATAGTTGGCTGACTCCAAGGCATGGTGGCATGGTAGGGGAGGGTTGCTCATTGCAGAGAAGATACAAAGATTACAGCTCAGGTCAAAATTTTCCTTCAGATGGGCTTTAGTGACAACAAAATCAAAGACAAACAAAGCAAAAACCAAAACTTGTTTTTCAGAACTTCTAGATTTTGAAATTATTAATAAGGGACTACAGATCATCTTCTGTGATTTAGAGAGAAAACAGGAAGAAGGGAAAAAAAGGTGAAAAGATGTAACATAAATGAGCTAGGGATGAAATGAACATTTATAATGATTAATAGTCATTAAAAATAACTCATCTCAAAGCAGAGTACGGCCATTAATGAGAACTAAAAAGATTTCTAGAGTTAGGGATGTAGCTGTGGGATAAAGCACTTGCTTAGTAGGCACAGGGCCCTGAATTGATTCTTAGCACTGTGATTTGAAAATTACAAAAAAAGTTTTGATGTAATTTTGCATGTATTTCCCAGAGGACCAACATGTTTAAATTTTTTTTTTTTTTTTTTTGTACCAAAAACTCCTATCTATAGGGGCTGGGGATTTAGCTCAGTGGCATAAGCACCTGCCTTGCAAGTGTGCAATTCATGAGTTCAATCCCCAGTATTTAAAAAAAAAAAAAAAAAACAAAACTCCTATCTGTAGGACAGGTGTAAATATTCTTCTCATTTTATGTAGAAGAAAGTTAATTTTTGTTTTTTTTTTTTTTTTTTATATTTTTGAGACAGGTTCTCCCTACAGAGTTCAAACTAGCCTGGAACTTATTATGTAGCCCAGGCTGACCTCAAACTTGAGGCAGTCCTCCTGCCTCAGCCTCTCAAGTGCTGGGATTACAGGTGTGTGCTACGACACCTGGCTAAAATTGATTGAAACTACTTAGGCCAGTTAATAAATGAAAGAGATGGGACTTTTAAGACATAACTCAACTGCCATTAAATTAGAATATTTCTCTCTATAAAGAGGACTATAAGTACTCAAATTTGGGAGAGGTTTGACTTTCTAGGTCACAAAATACTAAGAAAATTATTTGAACACTACTGAAAGACTGCTCCAATAGGTAGCATCTCCAGTCTAAGTTTACTTTATATATTTTTCTAAAAGAGAATATAAGTGGGCCAGGATTTAACTCAGCGGCGTAAGTGCTTGCCTGGCAAGGACAAGGTCCTGAGTTCGATCCCCAATTCAGGGGGAAAAAAATTGAATAAAAGAGAATATAGGGACTTGAGGTATAGCTTATTCTCTTAGGACATTGTCTTGATCTGAAAATGACAATCTCATGATTTCCACAGCCATAATTAACTGTTGGTATTGACAGTTGATTTAGTGGTAATTCTGTTGGCCATAGTGACTGACTGTGGCCCATAGCATGCTTTAGGAAATATTGCATCCAAATTTTAAAATGTGGTGGTTTGGAGGGAAATGGGTTATAGTGGATGAGAGGGAAGGTAGAATTTTGCTTTGTGTGGTAACAGTTTCTGAGATGCAGTGAGTGTGTTGCTTTCGAAAGGCCACAAAGAGCAGGAATTTTATAAATCACGTTATTCTACTTAAAATATGGAGTTGTGAAAATTTGTTAATACCAAGCATGAAAGAAGAAATTAGAAAATGAGGGCTTTGTTTGGTGATGAATACAAGAGTAAGAAAAAGCTTCAATAAAATACGTATATCTTTTCAGAAACACGCTAAGGGACAAGATTTGCTTAAACGAGTATGTGAGCACCTCAATCTTTTGGAAGAAGACTACTTTGGTCTAGCCATTTGGGAGAACACAAACTCTAAGGTAAGAAGACTGCGTGCAATATAAGCAGTTGGCAAAAAATAAAATTTTAATGTTATCGTTAAGAATGTAGCTATAGCCGGGCATGGTGGCTCACGCCTGTAATCCCAGCACTCAGGAGGCTGAGGTGGGAGGATCGTTGCGAGTTCGAGACCAGCCTGAGCTACAGAGTGAGCTCAAGGCCAGCCTGAACTGCATAGTGAGACCCCGTCTCAAAAAAGATAAAAAATGTAGCTATGCCTGCCTCTCCAAGCATAGTGCACGAACAACTATTTTTGTTTTTCAGATTTTTCTGGTAGTTTCCTTCTAGAATTAACTTAAAAAACAAAACATAATGTGTTCTTTCATCATTGAGAGAAAGTATCTGGTTGGATGTGGTGGCTACCAACCTCCTCCTTGGGAGACTTTAGGAGGACGGTGAGTTACAGGCCAGCCTAGGCTACATGATGAGACCTTGTCTCAAAAATAAAAAGTATATACTGTATATTTTTTTGTTTGAAGTACAAATGACAGCCTTTAAGTACTAACAAAATTCCTGTTGGAGAGTTGGGTTAATTTAGGAACGCATACTTGCAAGGCAGGTCCTTTTGCTGTTGAGTTAAATCCTTGGCTGTTGGAGGGGTTTTAAAGAAACCATTTAATATACTCTATAATGTGAAATACTCAAAAATATTAGCTTTTTAAAAAAATTTTTATATATGTATTTTTAATTTTCATCTATAAGTTTCTTTTGAGTTTTAATATAATTATATATCATAATTATATGTAATTATAATGATAGTTTAAATAGGATTAACCATTCTATAAATACTGATTGTAAACTTTGTATGTATTAGATACAATACTAATGGTATAGTCAATTCTTATTATTTAAACTATCATTATAATTACGATATATAATTATATTAAAATTTGAAAGAAACTTATAGAAGAGAACAAAGTCCTAATATTATTGAAACAGTCATATAATAAGAGGAATGGATGAGGGATGATATATAAAATCCAAGCCATGTCTTCATTATCCGCTCATACACATGCCAGGAACATGCTTTCCTAAGCTGGTAGGTGTTTCTTAATGCAATACAGTTGACATGTCAAGATTAACAGTCACACAGGACATGAAGACAAAGCAGGAACTTCATTAGCACATAGCCCAGACAAAACTTGGACAAAAATTCATCTAGAAAAGATTTACCATAGCATTGCCAGGTTAAAGGGCCAGTACAACAGCAAGAGCCGTCTTAGTGATGATAGTTTGAACGCTGTCTCTGGAGTCATGCTTCTTTGGTCTGGACAGGTCGCGGGCTTGATTGTATGCACAGCTGTCCCTAATATTTACCATCACCATCATCCTGGGAATTTGGTTTGCCTCTTTCCTGTGGCTTTTCCTATTTCATTCTAGCTTTTCATTGTATTTTGATAGGGTGCTCCTCCTGATAAATGGTACTTGTCTTTTGAAACATCACATGTCTAAAATGTATTTTCTTCATTATGTCCTCACATGTGATTGTTAGTTTGATTGTATGTAGAATTATACCTTCAAATTTTGAAAAAATTGTTCCATTTTTCTAGTTTCCAGTGTTGGTATTGTAAAAGCCAGAGCCATTCTGATTCCTAATCTTTTGTGTGACTTGTCCTTCACCCTACCCTGTAACAGAATCAAGATAGCGGAATTGTTTACCTCCTCCTGCTTAGGATTCTGAATTCACAGATCTGTATCTTAGTGTGAGCTGATTTCCTCCTTTGTTCTGTGCCCATGTTTACATTCTTTGCAGGGCTGTGATTTCCCCAGGAATGTCCTTGTCTAGCACACTGCCTGCCCTGAATGCAGCAGGCATTCTATAAATGAATTGATATAGTAAGACATACTGTTACACTTTAGAGAACAGTTTTGCCACTTCCTACTTGCGCTAAATAAGTTACTTTAACCTCTGTTTTCTCATAGGTAAAGAAATGAGAACTGTACTGAGTCTATATAAATTAAGCACTCAATAAAAATTAAGTATTGTAGTTGTTCTTATAATAGTATTATTATTTTAAAATAACACTATCAATTAACCAAAGCTTTCATGTTAAAAAAAAAAAAAAGAGCTGTGGACCATAATCTAGAAGTATATTCTACAATTCTGGAACATCTTTCAGGTTGAATAACCTGCATAATCTTTTCTCAGAGTTTACCAAAGAATAGTGTACTTTTTACTTAAAATTGACTATATCTAGCCAGATTTTGTGAATTCATTTTAGCTTTTGGAAACAATAAAATCATACAAATTTAGACTTTTAATTGTCTTTAACTAGTTAATTTAAAAATCAAATTGGTGCCAGACATGGTGACACACACCTATAATCCCAGCATCCAGGAAGCTGAGGCAGGAGGATCATTGGGAGTTTGAGGCCAGTCTAGGCTACAAAGTGAGTTCAAGGCAGGCTTGAACTGCATAGTGAAACCTTGTCTCAAAGAGCAAGGGGAAAAAAAAATCAAACTGGCTTTTATTCACAGTTCATGAATACAGAACACCCTTCAGCCTACAGAATAAAATGTGTGCAGTGAAGGCTCCCACTGGACAGTGTTAGAACAGTAGATTTTGTAAGGCGGGTACCAAAAAATGAAACAAAAGGAAAAAAATCTGGTTTGATTGACAGGGTTAAAGTAGAGAGGACTCCCTTATTAAACTCAGATTGAACTCTCCGGATTTCAGGAAAAACTTGTCTGTTTGGGGATCAATCTGCTTTCTTAATGTTTCAGTTTAATTATGTGGTATTACTGCGGATACTTCATTTTGTTTTGTTCTAGTCTGGGCCTAGAGTATAAGAACTCAGTCCAAAAAAGTGACCCCCCCAATTTTTTAAATACTATTATTCCTTATATCTATTGTGAGTAAGCCAAATTTTCAGAAAATACCTTCTAGAAGTATACAGATATTCATAAAATGACTAAATCTGTAAGGCACTTAACCTTTGTTACCCATCTGTCTAAATTTTCTGTCATTCTGAATGTGGATACTAGAGCTTTAAAACCTTTGGGGGCTCATACTTCATTTTACAAATGAGAAAGCACACATGAGAAAGTGACTCTTTCAGTTGTTTGCCTGGTACCCCACCTAAATAATTTTCTTCTTAGCTTTTTATTCTTCTTTTCCTTGATTTTTATGTTTCTTCACTGGTTGCCTTTTTTCTTTTTTCCCCTTGATTCCTAGCTACAGATTAGTTCATGTTGTGGAAAAATACAAACTTTAATACAATGAGGGAGAAATCTTTTATCCTCTTTCCATTTCCAGTCTCTGCTGTCTTTTTGCCCTTTGTTTGTGTTGAGACAGGGCCTTACTGTGTAGTTCAGGCTGTGAACTCACTCTGTGGCCCAGGCTAACCTCAAACTCAGGGCAGTTTTCCTTCAACCTTCCGAGTATTTCGGAAGGTGTGCGCGTTTCTCCCCGAGGTTTTATATGTGTAACTACTTCAGTTTGTGCATTAAAAAGATAAATTGAATATTTAGAAAGAGGCAATCAAGTGCCTTATGCAGGGAAGAAAGTTAATTAATTTGGCTTTCTCTTCACAGGGAATGGTTTGGAGTCACTCCTTCCCTAATGACTGCAAGATACTAGGCCTATTGCCCAACCGAGTCTGATGTAAGACCAGGAAAAGCAGTCAGAAGCAAACTTCTGTAGCTCTGTGAGAGATTTATTGCTGCTGTGAATGAGAGTTATATGAATTAAATAGATGCTTTTTTCTGCATAGAATTAGTTATTTAGGAGTAAATGAAGGATTTTTTTCCCCTGGGGTGAGGAGAAGTCACCCACATTAATTTTCCCTCCCTCCAATTCCCTAAGCAAAAAAGCTCTTCTGATAAATAATGAGCTTTTAAAATTCAGTTTACATTCAGTTTCAGGTATTCGGTCTTCTCCTTCCATATTCTGTGTGGGGAAATTTTCTTACTTTTAGGAAATCAACTTGATAATCAACCTGAAAAGATAATCAATCATAAAAGAATTGGAGTGAATATTAAATTAAGAATGTGAGGGACTTAGTTTATAATCGTCTGATAGGATGGGCTGTTTTTCATTGATTCATTACTGGCTTTGAAGACAAGTGGCAGTAACGACTGTATCTTTGTTTAAAGACTAACATGAACTTTATGAATATACTTGTAGAATACAGAGGCTTCATTTGGGATCTTACGTTTTGCTGGGTATTCCTTCATAAACGTTTATTGAACAGATAGTATCTGCCTTGTTTTAGGCAGAGGTATGAAAGATGTAGTCTCCTCATAGAGCTCCTCGCCTGGGGGACAGCAGTAAACGAGCACCTGGGTACCATCTGAATTATCATAAGAGATAGTCAGGAACCTTCCAGGGGAAGAAATAGTGACAGAGAATTCCAAGTAGAAGAAATAGTATATGAGACAGTGTTTTGAAACAAGGGAGCACATGAGAGATTAGTCAAGTGCCCATGTTTACATTCTTTGCAGACCTATCATTGTTTAGTCAAGTAAATGAAGGCCCGCATCAGGATACTGCTGCTCTCCATTTCTGTTATTTGGAAATTTCTCCTAAAGCTCATGGAGGAATGTGACTCTTTTTAATGCACAAACTGGAATTCTATTTAAAATGTTAATGTATTTAACTCACAAGGTATGATTCATAAAATGAGACTCTTCAAAGGGAATCCCTAACCAGTTTCAAATAGAAACTAGATTATCTAGAGTTGCTATTTTAGGGAGCTCCTTAAGTAGCTGCTAAAAAACAGTTCTTTAACTTGTCCTCTTAATCTTATTGTTTTGTACATTGTCTTGCCTCTTTCCTCTGCCTCTATAATGTAATCTTCTGTTTTCCCATTCTGTTCTGTGAAATCAATTTGCATGTACTGCCTATTTGTGTAATATAGTACAAGTAAGTGTGTAAATCATTCATATATTATCCCAAAGAATTTCTACAAAGCAAACACATGTGTGTAAATAATCCATAAGGTTAAAAAAATGAGTATTACCAGAATTGCAGAATTCCTACTCCTGTCTGCTAGCACCCTTCTCTAGTCCCTGTCAAAAGTTAAGTTTTTCTTGACATCTGTCTCCATCAGTTAGTTTTTCCTGCTTTTACAATTTCCATAAATGAAATCATGCAATATATATATATATATATATATATATATATTTTTTTTTTTTTTTTTTTTTTTTAAACCAGGGATCGAACTCATGACCTTGCACTTGATTTAGCTCAGTGGCATAAGCATCTGCCTTGCAAGCAGGCAGTCATGAGTTTGATTCCCGGTACGGATTAAAAAAAAAAAGAAGAAGAAGAAAAAACATTCTCATTGCAATATAATAGTTCATTTTTTACTATAACGTGCTTTTATTTATGCATTCTTCTATTGATGGGCATTTGACTTGTTTATAGTTTGAGCTTTTATGAATATTGTTTTTCTAGGAACATTCTCATATGTGTGTTTTGGTATGTCTTGCCATACAAATTGTTGTTGGGTATAGTCCTAGGAGTGGAGTTGCTGGATTTTATTTTGTTGTTATTGTTGTCATTGTTGTGTTGTATTTTATTTTGCTTTGTTTTGGAGACAGGGATTACAATATGTAGTGTAGGTGGTCCTTAAACTCCATTTGCCAGCCTGGTCTTGAGTTTGTGGTGATCCTCCTGCCTTATCTCCGGAGCACTGGGATTCAGGTGTGAACCGCCATGCATGACTGAGTTGCTGGAATTTAGCACGTATGTTCAACTGTAGTAGCTACTATAAGACAGCTTTCCAAAGTAGTTTTACCAATTTACTCTGTCATCAATGAACACAGCACCAGCTGTTTATGCCGCATACTGATCTCTATTTGTATGACTCATAACATTCTAATTTCTACCCATGTCACGCTGTTGCAGCTGGTCTCACCAGGATGAAACAGTTTTTGATCCTCATGTTACTTGGTCTTTTGCAGCACTGATGATCTAAATCTCCCATCCTTGAAACTTTCTCTTCCTTTAGATTCTGAGATAATAGTGTCTCCTGTTTTCCGACTATGACTTCAGTCACCCTTACTTCTTTCTATCCCTTAAATGAAAGTATTCCTCTAATAACCAGACATGCTAGCCATGCCTGTAATCCCAGCACTTGGGAGGCTGAGGCAGGAGGCTTGTTGCGCGAGGCCAGCCTGAGCTGTATAGTGAGACCCTGTCTCAAAAAGACCAAAAAAAAAAAAAAATTCCCCTAGGTAGTACCATTAGTTGCTTTGTTTTTATTCTAATATGTGCCTTGTAGTGATTTTTTTAGCTTTTAAACTTTTTATTCTATGTACAAAGAGTTTGCATGGTCTTTATAAGTGATTTTTAAAAATTATGGTTTTTAGTTTTAACACCTATGTAGAGAAGGCTCTCTCATCCGTATATCTTTTCTGAGTGGCATCCAGCCCTCAACTGAAATAATTCCACTTGGATTTCCTAAAACACCTTAAATGTATATTTATGTAAATATATTATCATGTTTTCTTTGTGCTGCTATTGTGCATTTCTTTTTTTTCTAGTTTTTTCCTATATTTCTTTTCTCAGGGAATAATATCATATCCATCCACTTGCCCAAGCCAGCAAATTAGGAGTTATCTTTTACTATTACACTTTCCTAACCCTCACCACCATTCCACTGCCTGTGTCCCATTTATTAGTCACAAATCCTGATTGTTTTACCTCCAAAATCTCTTTCTTCTCCGTCCCATAGACTTTCCCTATCAGGCCCTTTCAATTATCAGTATCATTTACTGAACACTGCATGTTTTTTTATATACCAGGTAATTTAATCCAAAATAACTCTGAAGAAGGGTAGTTTTGTCCCAATTTTATACATAGTAAAAAAATTAAGACTCAGAAAGTTTGCTTTAAGGACGGTTACATAGATACTAATTATTAGAGAGGTTCAGGTAGGACTGGAACTCTCTAATAATTAGCCATTATTCTCTTCTGGATCACAGTTAATCATCTCAACAACAGCCTCTTTATATTGTCTCTCACCTATAGTCATGCTTCTCTAATTCATTCCACTCCTTTATTCTAAATCTTCCAATGCCTCTTGCTTTCTTAGAACTTGAAACCCAGATTTCTTACATGGAGTGTGGAGGCTCCTATTTACTGGCCCTTTAGTGGTTTTTTTTTTTTTTTTTTTTTTTGCATCTCGGTTTTAATCTTCTTCTAACCTCTGAGCTCACCCTATGCAGACCCACATGTAGCAGCTTAGATGTATCACTTTAGTGCCTTTCTATTGACTTCTTTTTCTTTTTTTTTTTTTTTTTTTTTTTTTTTTGTCTTTTTCTTTTTTATCGGTACCGGGGATCGAGCTCACAACTGCCTGCTTTCAAGGCAGGCGCTTATGCTGCTGAGCTAAACCTCCAGCCCCTGACTTCTTTTTCTTTATTGCCTAGTTCACTGTAGTTTGTCTGTCTTTGTGTTTGTTTGTTTTTTGAGACTGAGTCTCACTATGTAGTTTGGGGTGGCCTTCAACTCACTGTGTAGCTCAGGTTGGCCTGAAACTAGTGGTGATCCCCTTGCCTCAACCTCCCAAGTGCTGAGATTACAGGCATGCACCACTGCTGTTGTTTATCTTTCAACATTTAGAAAATGCCCAGCTGTTGTTTGTCTTTCAAAATTCAACTGTGGTCCCCAAGCACACTATTGAGAAACATTTCCTAACTGTCTTCCAATCCACGTTGGTATACATCTTCTCCGTTCCCAGAACACAGTATGCTCTATCATAGTAATGATCATACCCAGAACAAACAAATTGATTGTTCATTGTTCATCTCTTACTTTAAAATGACAGTTCATTAAGGACAGGTGCTATTTATTATTCTCATTATTATTATTATTATTATTATTATTATTATTATTATTTGTGTGTGTGTGTCTATGTGGTATGCTGGGGATTGACCCCAGAGCCTCCTGTACACTAGGTAAGCACTCTATCACTGAGCTAATATTCCTTCCCTGGTGCTATTTTTTTAATCCCTTTTTGTAACCACACTGTTTAATATATTGATTTATTCAAGTATTTGCTATTTTATAAATATTTTGATAAAATACTAAAAATTGAATAATTTTATTTGAACATAAAAGTATCTCTGTTCTTGTACACATTAATTTTTGATATTTGCAGAGGTTTTTAAAATTTTTGTGTAGTGGGCCAGGGATTTAGCTCAGTGGTGTAAGCACCTGTCTGACAAGTGTGAAGTTGTGAGTTTGATCCCCAGTACAAAAAAAATTTTTTTTGTGTGTAGTTTGTGGATACTAAAGCAATAATAACTTGTTCTATAAGGTAACTTAGATTTTGGAGTCCTCATACAGTTAACACAAATCTGGGTTTGTCTTCCCGGTGCCAAATCAGTAGGAATTTTAGTCTGAGTTATAAACTAGTTCATGGAATCCCTGGAAGGAACTTGGAAGCTTTTCGTTACCTTGAGATATTCTCTTAAATAATGGAAAATATGGTGCTCTACCTCTGGTTTGTGATACCCTTTCTAAGGTAGTAGAAACCACATGAATTTTTGTTAAGTTTTCTGAATTTAAGGTATAAGTCAAAGATTCCCAAATGTTCCACTAAATTTATCAATTAGTATTTAAAAAAATTTTTTTTGCCTGTGAACCTATCACATTTAAAAGTTCTTTCATCTAAATGAGACACTAATGAGAAAATACCTAGGTCTTTCCTTTCCTGACAGGGCTTAACAAAGTGTGTACTTAGCTTTATACTGTAGAAGAATTTTATATTAATAGTTTTTAACCTTCCATGTTAATTTCAGGGGAATATAAAAGGAAACTAGTCTTCACTTTTGTGCTTATTGTTTGTTGTGTTGACTGTCTTTCTATAATAATCAAAGTACAGTAGTATTTAATTAAATGTAACATTATGGTGATCAGAACCATTCCTTTTGTAGGATATGAGATGGTCACCCTACGCTCTACTCTTGTAGATAGAAAATATAGGTAATTGTCTGTTTTGAATACACTGAAATTCAATTTCAAACCTTTTGGATGAAGGAAGGGAAGGATTAGATAAGAGGCAAAAGTGGAACTCTTGGGTTTTTGGTAATGTTATAATTCTTAATGATCACTTTGTTACTTTACTGACCTGTGTACTTACATGTTCTGTGTGTGTGCATTGCGTATATGTTAGCGATTAAGTCCAGGGCCTTGGACATGCTAAAGACATACTCTGCCAGTGAGCTACACTCCTACTCAATGTGCCTTTCTGTATGTATTATACATTCAATGAAGATGTTAGTGGTACTTTTCAAGTGCCTCTAATTTAAAGTGTGGTCTCCCCTAGGTTGAGGATCCCTGCCCTAGTGGCATCTTGACTCTTAGGTGAAATGAGAAGTCACTAAGGGAGAGATTAGAGGGAGGCAAGAGTAGTTAGGGAAAACAAAACATTTTTTCAGTAAACATTAACTGGGCATGAACCATGTACCAGATGTTGTGCTAACATAGAAAACATGAATGAGATCAAAGGTCAGTTTTGAAGGAGAAAATAAGATTTGAATTATGTTAACTTTTGGTTGTACATCAGTACTAATTTATACCAATAATGTCAATAGAAAATGCTTATTTCACATTCACTGTTTACTAAGCGTGCTAATCTTTATACTGACTCTATGAGATGGATCTAGCTACTAATATCACAATTTATATATTTATCCTAAAGTTACTCAGCCAGGATATAGTGAAGCGTGGATTCAAGTTCACATTCCAGTTACTTGTTTCTTTGTTTAAAATCACTGTGCTTTGTGAAATCAATGCAGACTATCAAGGGAAGTGCAGGTTGACTGGAGACACTATCACGGATGGCCAGTGATCCTGTTTATGTGTTTTGGAGCTCTGTGTGAATGCCTTTTCTTCTTTTTACAGACATGGCTGGATTCTGCGAAAGAAATAAAAAAGCAGGTTCGAGGTAAGTGGATATAGCCCCTTTTATAGGTCTGTCTTTCTCCTAGTATGCTAAAGGATTTCTAAGCTCTTCTGGCTGTGAGTCAGTCACTTTAGAATCCTGACTATTGTAGATTGCTTTGAAAGTGGGATAAAGCCTTCCCTGGGAAGGAGGGGATTCCATAATAGAAAAATGCAGCCAAGGTGAAACTATAGAGATGCAGGTCAGGTCCTAACACTTTGAAAAACAACTAGGCAAAGTTGGGTAAGATACGAATGATGAGAGGAATACAAGGCCGAAAAAAAACAAGGATATGGGAGTCAGTACTCAAAATGGTGGCAGTCAAAACTGTAGTGGGTACCAGGAGGAGATGGCTGCCAGGTCCTACTCCTTTAAAACTGTTCTGGACTGCTGCTTTCCTACCCCACTTCCCTCTCTCGTCGTCTCCCCTGCCCTCATTTGTCCCTCCCTCTCTCAGTTCCTCTCTTCCTTCCTTCTCAGGGCCTCACACACGCTAAGCACACCCTTTATCACTAAGCTACACTGCAAGCCCTGCCTTCTAACTTTTTCCATGTTTTTGTGACTATACAGTAATCATTTCTTTTCTGTGGCTTCACTTTACCTAGTTCCATTTACCCATAGTCAAATGTATTCTGAAAATATTAAATGGAAGAGTCCAGAAATAAACAGTTTGTAAGTATGGAATTGCATGTCATTCTGAGTATCAAATGAATTCTTATATACTCCTGCTCTATTCTGTCTGGCATGTGACTCATTCCCTTGTCCAGCATAGCCACACTGTACATAACTACCCATCCTGTTAACTGCTTCATAGCCATCAGGTTGTCCAATAGACTATCATGGTTGATTATGGCCAAAGTATAAAATAGTGACGCTAACAATTCAGTTAGAACAAAGAGAAACTTATAGGCTTCCCTTTCCTCCTCTCCCCTCCCTTTCCCTCTTTTCCCTGCTTCCTTCCTTCCTTGATTCTTTCAAGATGGAGTGTTGCTATGTAACTCAGCTGCCCTTGAACTTACAACAGTTCTCCTGCCTCAGCGTCCTGAGTGCTGGGATTACAAACATGCACCACCATGCCTGGTAGTTCCTTGATTCATTTTGATTTTAGTTTAGTGCATGATGAGAGAATACTGTTAAATTGATATAATCTATATTTTTTAGGTGTATACAAATTTTGCTTTTTAAAAGTATGAACATGCAAAAAAATGCAAATATGCTACCTTAGTTACTTTTCTTTTGTTGCTGAGACAAAATACCCAACACCCAGAGTTAAAGAGGGAAAGGCTCATGTAGCTCATAGTTTGTAGAGGTTTCTGTTGATGATCCAGTGGCTCCAAGGCAGGGTGGCACGTGGCAAAGAGATAACCATTCTCGGTGGTAGCAGACAGCAAAAGCAACAAGAGAGGAGAGACAAGCCTCATTTGGTCCCTTATGTTGTATTCAGGCTACTGGGAGTAGGGCAGTGCCAATCCTATGAGTGGATTGATCTGGCAATTACTCATCCTTTATCCCAGCACTACACTTCGAATCAATCACATACTCTAGATTCAGCCTAAAAACCTCTGAAAATACCCTACAAGTGCATGAGGCTCTGAGGGGACATCTAAACACAAACCATAACATATACTATACAGTTTTTAAATTAATTTTTTAAATAGATGCTATAAATAAGTCATAAAATTAAAAGGCACAAGCAAGTGCAGCATAAGGTAAAGCTCCCTTCTTCCTTTGTCTTAGTCATGCAGTTTCCTGGAGGCAACCATGGTAACTAATTTTTTTTGTTTCTTTCAGAGATGTTCTGAATGTAGACACATACCCATGGGTATGTTAATTTAAATATGCAATGAATTTTCTTTTCCTTAACACAATTTGAAGTACTTTCCATATATATATTTCATTAGTTTAATAAGTAATTATATATACCACATATGTAAAAAGTCATACTAAATGACATTTTGGGATTATATAAATAACTATTGCAATAAAGTTTGTAGTAACTCATCTGTATGTATATCTCTGTGCACTTAATAAATATCTACAGATAAATTATTAGAAGTAAATAAACACATATAAAACTTAAGATGGTAATAGATGTTCAATGGTAAGCTCTTTTCCATATTTCTTAAAAGTGTGAAAAAGTATACAGACAATTACTGGTGTACCAACCATCCAGAATTAACAGGTATTAACATTTTTATTTAAAATAGTGTAGTAAAACCAGCCATAGTGGTGCACTAATCCCAGCACTCGGGAGCTGAGGCAGGGGGATTGCATGAATTCAAGGCCAGCCTAAACTACATAGGGAGACCCTATCTCAAACCTCCCCGCCCCACAGGTGTAGTACAAGGAAACTTGTCTCTCTTGTTTCCTTTCAGTCCCATCACCTTCTCTCCCTCTCCCTAAAAATCTGTTATGAGTTGGGGTGATTCCTTTCATGTTTTTGTATTTTCCTTTCATATGTCCAAACCCATGTTCAGTATCTACTTTGTCTTTTTAAAATTTTCCCTCAGAGCCAGACTTACTATTTATAACTTCTGTTTATCAATCTTTGCTGTCTTCTGAGCTTAATTTTTAGCTTATTCTTTTGGATGTGATGAGAGAGACTATCGTAGAGTCAGGGTGTCTATGCTCACCCTTTCTGGAATAGTACAGAGCAAAGGCAAGATTTCCTTGTACCTTCTATACCTACTCTAAATTACTGATAATATAATTTACACAAATTATGTTTTTTTTTTTTTAATCTTTTTATCAGTACCGGGGATCGAACTCACGACCGCCTGCTTGCAAGGCAGGTGCTTATGCCGCTAAATCCCCAGCCCCCACAAATTATGTTTTTAAAAATCCATATATATTTTTATTTTAAAGGGAAAAAAAAGAAAAAAAGCAAACAATTAAACAACAAAAGTAAAATGACAAAAAATCTATATTTTGTGTATCCTCTTGCCCTGCAGAGGTCACCACTGTCTTAAATTTTGCATTAATAATTCTGTTGAAGTTTTGAAAACATTTTTTATTACTTAAGAATTATTTGAGTTTGATCTGATCCCCAGCACCAAAAAAAAAAAAAAAAAAAAAAAAGAATTGGGGCTGTGGATTTAGCTCAGCGGCATAAGCGCCTGCCTTGCAAGTGTGTGGTCGTGAGTTCGATGCCTGGTACCGATAAAAAAACGAAAAAGAAAAAATATTGTTATAGTTCATCTTTTTGAACATTCTGTAAATTAAGTTATGTAATATGTGAATTACTTTTCTTAACATAGTTTTTGAAATTTATCCTTCTTGAAAAAGAAAATTTCACAAAAATCTTAATCTTTATGATACCTTATTTTTTCTTTTTGTATTCCACTTTATGTATTTAAGTATTGATTTTATTTCTTCCACTAAATTCATTGTTAAGTGCATCATCATTCATAGTTTTAAAAAACATTGATTTAGTGTATATACTCAAAAGTGGAATTGCTACCAGTTTGTGAGGCCTGGGGTGAATTCTTTCCAGTTTTTTTGGTTTTGTTTTGTTTTTTGTACCAGGGTTCGAACTCACGACCTCATGCTTGCCAGGCAGTGCTGTGTCGCTGAGCTATGTCCCCAGCCTCTTTTCAACTTCTGATGCCATGAACTAAAAATTGGACAGGACACATAGGTCGTGCAGTGTATATGTACTGAAGATGAGTTAGAAGTGGATTCCACAGAGTACAGTGAGCCAGCAGCCAGGAGGATAATGGAGGGCGGTTTTTTGTATGTAGAATTTCTAGATTGGCTTCTCCCTCATGCAAATAAGTCATTTGAGACAGTTGTCCCATCCAAAACCCACTTGGCCTGGCACCAGACTTGAACTATTCTATCGAAAGCTCACTTAGTTTCACACCAAATATAAATGAAGAATGCAAAGTAGTACTTTTCTGATCGGTTCCTCATACAGTGTTCAGGAATTGCAGTCATCTTGGATTCTGTGTTCTGTAGTTGTGCCCTGGGCCTGATGACTTTGATAGGTTATGTCCACTGCGTTGGCTACTTTTACTCCCAAACCCACTCTCCTGCCCCATTATTGTTGGACTGTAGGTATGTGAAAATACCTTGACAAGACATTGCCAAATTATTCTCCTTTAAATTGATTATAACCCCAGCTCTTGGGAGGTTGAGGCAGGAGGACCACTGTAAGTCCAAGGCCAACCTGAACTACATAGTGAGGCCCTGTCTCAAAAAAAATAATTTAATCATAACAGTTTATATCTCCACCAATATTATATGAAAGTTCTTGGTTTCCTGATTCCTCAGAAGGGAGGCTTTTTTTCAATTATTAGTGAAAAAAATTTTAGACATACGTAATTTCAGATTTATTGAAAGTTGAAAGATGAGATAAGAAATTCCTAGATATCCTTCACTCAGATTATTTAAATGCTAATATTTTATTAAATTTATTTTATGTCCTATTTACACACATACACACACAGTTTTTTTCTTGAACCGTCGTGTAAGAGTAAGTTGCATCATAGCCAGGCATGGTAGTGCATGCCTGTAATCCCAGCACTTGGGAAGCTGAAGCAGGATAATCACCGCAAGTTTACCACCAACCTAAGCTACACAATGAATTCAAGGCCATACTAAACTCATAGTGAGTTCAAGGCCAGCCTGAACTACAGGCTGCACAAAAGGATAATACATACTAGTTTATTTAAAACAAATAAACATAGCAGCACTATGAACAGCAGCGTAACAGTAAGAACAACCCAAATATTCTTTAACAGATAATGATAAACAAGACTATTCAAACAATGGAATGTTACTTAGAAGAAGGAATGGAGATGAGCCAACCTTTTTAGATAAACCTCAAAAATATCATTTCAGATGAAAGTTGCGTACCATGCTGCATGCCCGCAGTCCCAGCTATTCAGGAACCTAAGGCAGGAGGGTTCTTTTTTGGTACAGGGTATTGAACTCACAACCTCGCACTTGCCAGGCAGCCAGGTAGGCACTTAAGCCACTGAGTTAAATCCCTGACCTGACAGGGATTCTTAAGTCCTAAAGTTTAAGGCCAGCATGGGCAGCATAATGAGACCACTCATTTTGTTTTAAATCTCATTTTGTTTTAAAGCACCAGACCAAATGAAGGCAAGTACAAAAGGCTATGTATTGTATATTGTATATTCAGTTTAAATAAAATATCCAAAAATAGGTTAGTGGTCGCCAGGGTCTGAGGCAAGAAGAGAACAGGGAGTATTGCTTAATTGCACAGTCTCTTTTGAGAGCAAGAAAAATGTTTTGAATCTAGATGCAGGTAATGCCTGCATGACATTGTGAATGTATGACCTGCCACTAAATTGTACACTTTAAAATTGTTAATATTGTGTTATGTGATTTTCACCTTGATTTAAACAAATTAAGTCGTCATTATACTGTGCCCATCTGCTCCTAAATACTTTAGTTTGTATATCCTAGGATCTAGGATTTTTCTTACATAACCATAATGCAATTATCAAAAGGAGGAACTTAATATAGAAAATGATTCTATAACCTTTTACCCTTATTTGTGAGTTGTCTCAATGATATCTGTTAGAGAAAAAGAAAATCTAAGGTAATATCTTGAATTTAGTTGTCAGATCTTTATTTTCTTTAATCGAAAACAGTTCCTAAGTCTTAAATATTTCACAGTGTTGGTAGTTTTGAAGAATACAGAGCAGCAATTTTATGTGGTCAGTTTGAGTTTGTCTGAGCTTTTCTCATGGTTAGATTTAGGTTATGCACATTTGGCAGGAATGTCATTGACATGTTGCTGAATTAGAAGGCAGAAATTTTGGTGTTGAAAATGTTTACAGTTTTTCCAAATAGTCTTTTTTCCCCTTTGCTAAATATTTTCTATAAAATGTTACTAACTATATATGTATCATATTCTGTGAAGTAGTAATTAACTGAAGTTTAACTTAACTGTTTTTTAAATTCCAAGGGATCTTTTTCTTTTTTTAAAATTCAGGGCATTGACCCAAGGCCTTTGGATGAAGGCACCTCCACCCCATACCTTTTTTGGGGGTTCTAGTTGTTTTGAAACTGAGCTCAGGAAGTCAGTAAATTGCCCAAGTTGGGGTTAAACATGTGATTCTCCTACCTCATCCTTCCAGAGTGCTGGGATTGAGGCAGATGCAACCACACCTGACTGTAAATGATCTTTATTTCTTTTTTAAAATCATCTCTGTTGCATTTAACGCTAAATTTGCTTAGAAGGAAACTGGAAAATTTCTTTAGTAGTATCAAAAACTTGTAACTGCTGTATGGAAAAGAAAAGAAACCAAGAGTTTGAGTTCTTTTTTTATGATTACTCTTACCAAAAATAAAAACATTAATGTTTGAAAAATTTCCACTTACTTATGGTCACTTCTAAAACAGTTAAGTTTCCTTATTTTGTGTTGACTAAAAGGAAAAATTAAATGGAATATAGTTGTTTTGATGTTTTCACTTCGTTCAGTCTAGTAATTTGAGCCCATTGGGATATCTGGAATAATGCTTAGATAAATAATTTTAATAAACTAATATGTATTATCTCCTGTTGTGCAGTATTTTTTTTTAAATTCCCAAAAGATTTAGCATTCTCATGTGACTTTCTCAACAATAATTGAGATCAGTGATTTTATTTCATTCACTCAATGAATATTTCTGTGTGTGCACACACGTGCGTGCATGCATGCATGTGTGCATCAGGGATCGGACTCACAACCTCACACTTGCCAGGCAGGCGTTTATGCTGCTGAGCTATATCCCCAGCCCTCAGTGAATATTTCTTGAGCACTCATCATATGCCAAGCATTGTTTCAGACAAAGTTTTTGACCTTGGGGATATAATTTTTAGTGGAAAGACATGTTCCTTTAATTCTTTATAAATACATATAAATAAGTAGTAAATATGTACAATACAAACCTCAGATGGCATAAGAGTGTGTAGTACTGCTATCACTTCTCCCTCAGCTTCCTAACTTCTCTCTCTAACCTCCCTTCATAGTTTTCCAACAACTCTGACTAGATACATCCTTACAGAGCTCTTCGGTACAGGTTTAATCACACTTATAATGATACTTTTTCTGTCCTTAACTTACACAGTACCTTTCTGTTTATACTATTCTTTTTCACTTTTGTCTCACTTGACACTGTTTTGAAATTATTCCATAGAGAGCTATTTCTTTTTTTTTAGTGGCTGCTTAATTTTGTAACTTCTAGCTAGCCCATAATTTAATTTCTTTTTTTGCTAGTATATTTACATTGTTTTTAGGATTTTGCTTTTACAAAAATTCTTACAAACATAGCATTTTGACTATATTCAAGTATGTTTAGATATATGAATAGAAGTGGAATTCCAAAATGAAAAGATATATAATGTCACTTTTGTTCTCCATAGTGTTACCAGTTTACACTCCAGTCAGCAGTGGATGGAAATGCTTATTTTTCCCATCAACATTAAGTGTTATCAAACTTTCTCTCTCACTTACTTAATATAGAATTAAAAAACAACAAAAAAGAAAATCACATTTTATAAACAATTTAATTCTCTTAATATTATTTTTATGCAATTACCTATTGCCATTTTTTGTTATAATTAAATTTATGTTTAAAGTTCTTCATAAGGACATAGATATTAAACATTCTTTGACTATCTTCATTTCCCTGTTTTATTCTACCCAGTGTATTTTTTTAAGGTAATATAGAGGACTTTAACAGTCTTTATAGGGAATTATAAATTAGCAATGGCTAGTTGAAATGACTTGATCATATCAGAAAGTGACACAACAGTTGGTATTTTTTAGTTTATGCTATACACTGTAAATGTTGCTCCACTCCCTTTACAAGAAACAGTTATGAGTTTTGATTTTCTAAGTGCCATATCAAGTTTTCAGATACGAAACATTAAAAGAAGGTTAATGATAAATGTTAGTGTCTGGCTAGGCTTTAAGGCCTCATTATATTGTCTGGAATTTACCTTTCAGTTCAAATGTTGAAAGAAAATACTGACTATTTCTAAGGGAATTCTCTATTAAATATTTCAGTATACATAAAAATACATTCATTGAGACATTCAGACTACTTCAGATGTTATTGTTAGCTCTTAGCATTAAAGGTGATGTTTGATGATAAAACACAGAATGATATTTGACAAATAAATGTTTGTAGTAGGATCATAGAGCCCAGTAGTTAAAAGCATGGGATTTAGAATGAGAGAACCCTGGATTCCCTGGCTATGTGCTTTCCTAAGTGTCTGTTTTTTCATGTATAAGACGAATTAATACCAGCACCTGCCTCCTTGCATTTCTGTGGGGATTAAATGAGTTAGTATGTTTAGGAGGGCTTGGCTTAATGTCTGGCATGCAGTAAGTACTGAACAAAATGACAGCGTTAGTATTGTCATCAGTCATTCTTCTGGCTGAGGTCAAGGCTTACTCTTTGGGAAGCCAACCGTCATGCTAGAAAAACCCTGAAGGGTAGCACTCAGCCCAAAAAATGAAACGCATCCTCCACTTAACCATAATTCATAATCTCTGGTTTTCATTTTAAATTTAAAAAATAACACATTTATATAAGTCTCAGGATTGAACTCTTACCAATAGTATTTTAACTTTTGTTTGAGATAATATTGGCAGATAACACAAATAATGCCAAAACCAAAAGAGAACATCCGCTGGTCACCTGAATGTCCTCAAATCTAATGTCCTAAGGACCCAGTGCAATATATGGATCACATTTCAGTGCTGTAAGCAAGTTTACCTATAGTTTTCCTTCTTGTTAGTTTGCCAGTGTCATTCTAATCACTTACTAACTAAACTAGTCTTTTTCCTTTTTATCGGTACCGGGGATCAAACTCACGACTGCCTGCTTGCAAGGCAGGTGCTTATGCCGCTGAGCTAAATCCCCAGCCCCACTAACTAAACTATTAAAGTCAGGAGAGAGAGAGAGAGAACAAGAGAGAAAGAAGGAGATCGATTCTGTAGCTTTCATAAGTGGTGTCTTAGCAACTTTCTTTAAAACAACAAAAACACTTAAGCACAGTGCATGATGACTATGTCAAAAGATTTCAGAAAACAATGTTGAATATATCAAGGTATTTCTAGCAATCTGAAACTTAGGCATAACCATAAAATCTTTTATTTTTATAGGCATCCCTTGGAATTTCACATTTAATGTAAAGTTTTATCCACCTGATCCAGCACAGTTAACAGAAGACATTACAAGGTAAATAATCATTAGTTACATGTGTGGTAGTAACTCTCCTCATCAAAAGCTCTGGAAATTTCCCAAAACTGAAGAAAAATGATGTGCTATTAAGTGGCAGTAGGCTGGGCTCCTCAAAACCACACCATCCTCCCAGAGGGTTATGTAGGGGTGAATAGCCCTTGAGTTTTTGGGGGTTTGTTTTCTTACTTTTCTCTCACTACCTTTCTTTTTATAGAGATCAAAAAAGCCAAAAAATCTCAGGATGGTTATTATTGCTGTCTTCCCTCTCCCTTCCCCTCCCCCTTCTGTACCCCCTCCCTTTCCCTCTCCCTCCCCTCTCCTTTTTGAGACAGGGTGTCACTCTGCAGTTTAGGCTGGCTTTAAACTCACTTTATAGTTCAGACTTGTAACAGTCCTCCTGCTTCAGCCTCCTGAGTGCTAGGATTACAGGTTATCTCCTCCTATTCCTCTTCCTCCTTTTGTAGTACTGGGAATTGAAAACAGGGCCTTCACACTGATTTACCTTCCTAACTGTTTTTATTTTTTGAGGCAGGGTCTCTTTTAGTTGCTAAGTTCCTCAGGCTGGGCTCAAATTTGCAATCCTTCTACCTCAGCCTCCCAGAGTGCTGGGATTTCAGGTATATGCCACCAAGCCAGCTGTATCTTCCTCTTAAACTGTACGGTTAGGTACATGATCCTCATGAATTGAATCTTCTTTGAGCCTATTTGACTTGCAAGTAATATTCTTTAAAAACAACGTACTGAATCCTTTAGGGAAAAGGAAAAGCAACAATATTGTAAAGAATACAGGCCAGGGATTTAGCTCAGTGGATAAACACCAGCCTTGTAAGCACATGGTCATGAGTTTAATCCCGGTACCAAAAAACCTTGCATGGAGCCTTATATGTAGTAGGTGCTTGGTAAATGTCTGTTAACTTTAAGTTGTTGGTTGCTAAGAAACTTTTTATATTCTGATTTTATTGATTATAGGCAAGTTTATAACTTCCAAGCCTCTGTTTTCATACATGTTTTTGTTTTTTGTTTTTGCACTGGGGATCAAATCACATCCCTGTGCTTGTAAGGCAGGCGCTTATGCCTCTGAGCTAGATCCCTGGGCTGTTTTCATATATCTTAAGGGAATATAAACTCTTTAAAAAATCTGATTATTGGGCTGGGGATTTAGCTCAGAAGCGTGAGTGCCTGCCTTGCAAGCACACGGTCGTGAGTTCAATCCCTGGTACCGATTAAAAAAAAAATCTGATTATTGCTGGGTGTGATAGTGAACTCATATAATCCCAGTACTCAAGGAAACTGAGGTAGGCTACTTAGCAAAACTGTCTCCAACATAACCAAAATTCTGTTTATTCCATTTTTTTGAAAGTTTATAATATTTTTAAAGATTACTCTGCTGTCCAGGCATACTTAGTACATTCATGAAGTTGAAATGCTGTATATCACCCTGAGAAAATTGTTTATTTCTTTTCCACAGGTAGTATTTGTTAAAGTTGTCATCTTTCTTCATCTAGGTTTACTCTGTATTTTTTTTTAAATTTTTTTTTTGTCTTTTTCATTTTCATCAGTACCGGGGATCGAACTCACAACCACCTGCTTACAAGGGAGGTGCTTATGCGGCTGAGCTAAATCCCCAGCCCCAGGTTTACTCTGTATTAAAAAAAAAAAAAAATCAAATCCCTAAAAATCTTTGCTAATTACTTAACATTTTAAAGAAGTTTAAGATTCTCCTTGTTTGGACTTTTCTAACTCTTCTTTCTAAACTGCCTTCCAACTATGAGTTCAACATAGTTATGGTATTTGTCTTTGATGGGAAAATTTCAATTACGGTATTTGTTTTGTCTTTGATGGGAAAATTTCAAACACAGTGGCAAAAAATAGTATGATGAGTAGCCATATGCTTGTCACCTAGATTGAACAATTAATGTTTTAACCTTTTTAAAAAAATCATTTGTGTTTTTCTTTTCTTCATTTTTATTTCTTTGGTTTGTTGTTGTTAACATGTTGACTTTTTTTTTTTTTTTTTTTTTTTAACTTTAGATACTATTTATGTCTTCAGCTTCGGCAGGACATCATTGCAGGACGTCTTCCCTGTTCCTTTGCAACCCTAGCATTATTAGGTTCTTATACCATCCAGTCTGAGCTGGGAGACTACGACCCAGAGCTCCATGGCGCGGAATATGTTAGTGATTTTAAACTGGCCCCAAATCAGACCAAGGAACTTGAAGAAAAAGTCATGGAACTCCATAAATCATACAGGTGATATCTCTGGGATTTACTCTGTTTATTTTGGCAGTAAGTTTAAACTCCTGACATGTTACTGATTCAGTGTTTGCCTAAGAGGGAGCAGGACGCCTTATAAAGAACTAGCATTTCCCTGTATGTTTGACCATGGCAAGTCACTGAATTCCTCTGAACTTCATTTCGTCATTGGAGTAATGGGCACTGCATAGTAGGATGAAAACTGAATGAAATGATAGATGTAAAGCACTTAGCACAGGACCTGGCACACAGTAGGTGCTTGATAAATGGCAGCTATTATTGTCTTACCTTTTCTCAGGTTTTAAACTTATTATACTATGGTGAATGCATCAAGATTCTTAGAAGTAAAGAATTTTAAACTTGAGATATACATACATGGATAGATTTTACAGAGCCCATGAAACCTTTGAACATAATTTTAAAAGTCCTTATTGATTACACTGCTTTTTTAAAAAATGAAAATTGCTACTATTATGGGGAAGTCATAACAGTAATCAAGAGCAGCTTATACATTAGTCTGAGCTACCCTAAAATGTTGCCTCTGCTTTGTTCTCATCTTCAGACCTCAGGTAATTCACTTAAATCCTCTGCACTTCAGCTTTCTTATATGTGAGGCAGAGGATATTGCCTCAGAAGAAACAGAGTGATTGCTAGATTTACAAAAGGTTACAGAGTAAAACACTTAGTATACTATCATAATGTTTTTCATATGATAAAAATTCACTAAATAGTAGCAAATATTAAAGTGCCATAAAAACTTGTGCCTACTATATGTTCACTGTTATTTGAGTGACTTACTATAGCTAAAATTTACACTTCAATGTCAAAGTGTGTTCTTGGCTTTAAATTAGTGTCCTGAGTTAGATGGCCAAGTTTCAAAGGGTTGCACTGCTCAAAGAGAAATCCAAAATGTAGTTCCAGTATGCTGCTGTCAAATTATTTTTTTAAGTTTAAAATTTTCTAGTATAGGGCCAGAGATATAACTCAATGGCCACAGTGTCTGCCTGGTAAGCACAAAGTCAGGTGTTCAATCCCTGGCACCAAAAAAAAAAAATTCTATTATAGTAAATACAGATACAACCCATTTTTGGGTTAGGTATATAGGTTAGTGGTAGAGGTACTTGCCTGTCAGGTACAAGGTTCTGGGCTCAATCCCTAATACCCCAAGAAACAAACAACCATGGTGGTGTACACCTGTAATCCCAGCACTTGGGAGGCAGAGGCAAGAGGGTCACTATGAGTTCAAGGGCAGCCTGAACTACATAGTGAGACACTGGCTGAAAAAACAACTAAAAAGAAAATTAATTTGGAGTCCTCGGTAATTATAACAATAGAGAGGTCCTGTTGGGTGTGGTGGTGCACACCTGTAATCTCAGCACTCAGAAGGTTGAGGCAGAAAGATTGCTGTGAGTTCAAAACCAGCCAAATGCAAAGCCAGCCTCACTGCATAGCAAGACCCAGTCTCAAAAGATAAAAAGTAAAGCAAAGGATAAAGAGGTATGAAGAGCAAAAAAAATTGAAAACCACCGTTAGGCGAATAGGACACATAGTTAAAATAACTGGCTTTGGAGTTAGCCTGTCTTGCATTGAATTCAGACTCCATTGCTTTTTAACACTGTGACTGTTGGTATCTGACTCCTAGAAAACCTGAGGCTTTAATTTCCTCATTTCAAATGTGAGGATGATAATGTGAATTTTATAATTGTTAAATCAGAAAGTTCATGTAAAACATTTAGCACGGTGACTAGTACATAATGAGAGCTCAGATATTTGGTGGGATGTTAGTAGTTCTTATCCTCATTTTAAAAACAGTGACTATGAGTCTGAGTTTAGAGAACTACTCTTAGAACTTAACAAAATTTAAGTAGATGGAACAGTCTGAAGGATGAATGGCTGTGGCTCAGTTGGTGTTCTGCTATAAGACAGAAACTGAACAATAATAGATTTCCATGACTAGAAAACTTGGAAGTCTGTCATCCTGGAATTTACTTGCTCCTTTTTATAAGGATTGGCAGCACTCACAAGGAGAAACCCAAATGGAAAATTTAATTTTGTCCAACAACATGGTGTTTTAGCCAATCCACAGAAACGTCTGCTGAGGCATAAATATTTTACTTGCATTGAAAAGTACAAGCAAATACCACTCTGCTCCTCACACAGAAAAATAGAAGACAGCCTATGTAAGCAGACCCTGTGGTGGTAGCCTTTTGCCGAGACAAGAATGGTGAATCAGAATCTATAATTAACTTTTCAAATTAATACTAGCAAGTCAAGTTTTAAAATTAATTGCCTTTCACTTATGGGCCCTAGGAAGCTGTATAAGCTTGTCCATTGTCCCCCATGTAATTATTTGAAATCACAATCCTTAATTTAGGAGATGCAACAAATATTATTAAAAGGCTGTCAATACAACTGTAATTCATGGAATGGCTCTTTTAACCCCACTTGCTTGAAATGAATAAAACCAGGGAAACAGCGCTATAATCCTTGTCTGTAATGAGCAAGATTAATCAGTGCCAGAGCTTCCTGGTTAGGTACTTTTATAAGTTGCAGTGCTTACAAGTAGTAAATTTTTAGGTGATAGTGAATAAATTCTGTACACTACACTTAATGGTTAGAGATATCTCATCTTTTCCCAGCTGTTTGGTAATCTCTTTAAAACGTCTTGGAAATTTTAGGAAAAATCCTAAAGTTTAACTTGTGATACTAATTTGTAAAATATATATGTTGTATTTATGTATACAGATGTCTATGGATGGTGAAATTATGAGAGATTTTCCTGTTTTTTTTTTTTTTTTTTTTCCTTAGTCATATTAAGGTGTCTGGCTTTTACAAATGGAAAAAGCTTTCTAGGACATAAGTAAAGCAAACTGATCACCAGGCAGAGAGGTAGTCTGGTTTAGGATTGGGTCTTAAACAGAGTGAGGAAAGTGTAGGTCCAAGGGCTGATGAGTTACAATTCCAGCCCAAGAGGGAGATAGTCAAGTATGGGCACTGTGTGCTGAGGGTTCCAGGCCAAGCAGAGCAAGAAGGGCATATATTTGAGGGCAGGGCCTATGGAGAATGTAGAGGGCAGGCATCTCTGTGGGTGTGCAGGCTGAAAGAGGACTCCACAGGAGAGATGTTCTAACACTGGGAGTCAGAACTTAAAGGTGGTATGGAAGGAATTACTGACAGTAATGAGACATTGGTTATATATGAAGTGGGAAAGAAAAATATTAGTAAAAATATGCAGGATAACAGTAGAAGGAAAAAGAAGTTGGTAAAGGGTGATACAAATGATGGAAAAAGAAGCTGGATGTGGTAGCACATGCCTGTAATCCCAATATTCAAGAGGCTGAGGCAGGAAGATTGCAACAAGTTTAAGACCAGCCTGAACTACATAGTGAGACCTTGTTTCAAACAACAATAAAAAGTTATAGAGAGAAACTAAAGTGAATCCTATGGTATTGCATTGAAATAGGAGATTTCAGAGTGAACTACGGTTTCCAACTTATAGAAAGATAAATATGAAAATATAGGTGTAGATACATACACTGACACACACATTGCATATATATTGCACTGGGAAGAGAGACTCAAAAAACGAGAAATGTCTAGAAAGATATGCAATCAGGCTTGAAGAGGCTCTCACTGGCCAAATCTGGAGCACTGTATGCAGGAAAATGATGAAAATAATTTATTATATTGCATTGAATAAGATGAGGATCGGAGTCCATACTGACTTAAGTGAGTAAATTAAAAGTTTGATAATAAATAGTATATTAAAAAGTTTCAAAAATATCCCACAAATGTAGTTACCAGTTAAAGAATTTCACAGAGGAAGCCTTGCAGACATCAGTGGTGAAAATGAATAACATCCGTGAAAACACGAACTGGAATTATGTGCTGCTGCATCCCACGTAGCTCTTGATGTCCCAGGGTGAGGATGTGAGAGGATGGGGGCGGAGGACAAGAGTCGGAGTACAGAAAACAGGCCGCGCGTAGCCCGCTCTCCTGATGGGAAGTACAAAGGAAGCAGAGGAGAGGGAGCAAGAGTGCGCCAGCGGCTGCAGCGCATTTATTTATACACTCCGGAGAATGAGTATCACATGAAGCCCCTCCGGCTGAGAGTTTATCCACGTGGCTTGTCTCAGGCACATGTTGCCGAGATTAGAGCAGTTTCCCGTGTGACTTGCCGCAGGCACCCAGTGTTCTTGAGATTAGCCTTTCTCTGGCCCACACTGATCAATCTTCAGCCACTCTCCACAGTGTACCGCCTGATAGGGTGCAGTGGGACACAGCCTTTCTCTGATATCTGTGTCGCAGTGGCTGGCGGCTGGAGGTGTAGCTCACTGGTTAAGTACTTGACTGGAGTCTAAGATTAGGGAACTGTTTCAGACTGAAGACTAAGCAAAACCGATGGTAAATATGGTCCTTCTGCAACACTGGCTAAACAATGAGGCTTGAGGACTATGTGCAGTATATATCAGCCTTGGTTGCCTGATTGTGGCATTATATAGAAGGTTGTCCTTATTTATAATATAGAAAACTTATACGAACAAAAATATTCAGGAGTGATGGGTCGCCAGATTGATAGCTTACTCCTCAAATATTTCGGGAAAAATCATTTGAATTATACATGATTTAAGCAATTATTTCAAGGCAGGTGTGGTGGTGCACACCTGTAATCCCACTCTTCTGGGAGGCTGAGCAGGAAGATTGAGTTTGAGCCCACTTTGGGCAATTTAGAGACTTAGCAAAGCCTTATCTCAAAAATAAAACGTAGGGGCTGGGGATTCAGCCCAGTGGCATAAAGGACCTGCCTGACAAGTGCAAGGTCGTGAGTTTGAGCCCAACTACCAAAAAAATAAATAAGGTAAAACATAAAAATAGGTCTGGGAATGTAACTCAGTGTGGAGGCCCTGGCTTTAATCCTAACTATCACAAAATCAAAGGAAAAAAGAATTATTTCAAAAATCCAAGCATTTTTTTTTTTTTTCTTTTTTGAAACAGGGTCTCCCTATGCAGTTCAGGCTGGTCTCAACCTCACTTTGTAGCCTAGGCTGGTCTTGATCTTGCAATGATCCTCCTGCCTCTGCCTCCTGAGTGCTGGGATAATATATAATATATGAACAATATAAATATAATACATAAAATAAACATTTTAAAATGCAAACATCAGCCAAACTTTAAACATATTTTCAACTAAGAAGTTTTAAAGTTAAAGATCCCTCTTAGCTGTGTGTAATGGTATAAAACTGTAATCCCAATAGTTGGGAGGCTGAGGCAGGAAGACTGAGAAATTAAGCCCAGTCTGGACTACAAAGGGAGTTCAAGGTTGGCCTAGTGAGATTCTGTCTTGAAAACCATTGTTTTAAAGTATAGTTATTTGTATACATAGTTTGAAATTTAAATCTGTACTCAATTGATTTGGGCCAGGGTGGTGGTGCACTTACGTTATCTCAGCAGTTGGCCAGTTGAATCAGGAGAATCACTGTAAGTTTGAGGGCAGCCTGGACTACATAGAAAGACCTTGACTCAGAAAAAAAAAAGGAAGAAAGAAGAGAAAAGAAAAGATTGGGGATATAACTTAGCATCATAAGTACCTGTGAAGTTCAATTTCCAGTACCAAAAAAAAGTCAAGTTAATTGACCCATAATGCCCGTTAACGTTGAAAGAGTCAACATGGGGAAGATTGTAGTATGCTTGCTTCATTTTTTTTTCTTTGTTTTATTGGTACCAGGGATCGAACTCATGACTGCCTGCTTGCAAGGCAGGCGCTTATGCCACTGAGCTAAATCCCCAGCCCATGCTTGCTTCATTTAATGTTTTAAATTTTGTCTTCAAGTTGAAGTGGTATAAATTATCCATCTTAATCTTATGATGAACCACTGAACTATCAGAAACTAAAATTGCAGTAATCTTTAATAGTTTACAGCTGGGTGTGGTAACGCACACCTGTAATCAGGAGGCTGAGGCAGGAAGATCGCTTCCAGGCCGGCCTAAACTTCAAAGTGGGACCCTGTCTCAAGAAAACAAAACAACAAACAGTTTACAGAGCAGTTTTATAACCATTATATTATTTGATCCTAATAGTCACATTCATTTATGTAGAAAGATTTTAAAAGCCAGTGGCATCCTGGTGTTTTAAAACAGGTGTGATTCTTCATAGAGGAGCTTGAGGAAGACGGTGGCTCCTTCCCCACTCTTAAGTGCAAAAGCCAGGGTTTAAGGACCTGAGTCAGTGACCTGAGACCTAATTTAATCCTGCTACTTCAAAATAAGATCCTAACCTGCTGTGATCTTGTAATCGTTCAGGGCCTGTTTCTTGATCAGAAAAGTGAAAATATTGAAGTTTGTGATCTTCAAGTTCCATTCCAACTTTAAAATTCTAAAATCCAGGCTGGAGATACAGCTCAGTGGTGCAGTGCCTGCCTGGCAGATGCAAGCGAGGTCTTAGTTCAGTTCCTGACACACACACACACACACACACACACACACACACACACACACACACAAATAGAATTCTAAAATTCACTGATAATAGTAGCAATACCAAAATTATAAAATAGCTGGTAGTAACCTTAACTGGAAAAGTACAGATGTATCACTTGGGTGAAAAAAAATTTATCCTACAAAACTTTCTTTTAATTGACTTGAATATGAGTTAATTTTCTCATTCTCCTTTTTTGTTTTTTAATCTTCTAATTCAGGTCCGTTAAATAAATAGAATTCAAGTGTGATGCTTTAGTGCTTACAGAGAAGTTTATTTAGGAAAGCTGCATTATTAACAAATCTGCAGCCTCTTCTGAGGTTTTTTTCCTTTTGGTTGTTGTTGTTCCAAGGATTCCTTTGTTCTTTTTAATGAGGGTAAAGACAGATGGGTTTGGGAGAGACTCTTCCTTATTAAGTGAAGAGATCCTGCTGCTCCCTATAGCTTGAGGCAGTCTTGTGGGAAACTGGCATTTCCATGTTATTTCTTTGGGGATGTGTCTGTGTTGTTACCATGAAGTTATACTTGATTAGTCTGAATTGTGTAGCATTAGGATGATGTCTTTGTCCTGAAGCCCAACATAACAGCTCATGAGTGCTTCTCAAAAGAGAGGAAACGTCGAACAGAAAAGGAAAGACTGTCTCAGTGAATGTTTAGACAGTGAGACTGAGTGTTTTCAAACAAATCTAATTCATTCTATTCCTCATAATGAAGATGTCTTAATAACAGAAAGCAGTCTCATTATCTGTGTGCTTCTATTAACCAATTTATTTTGTGTAGATCAGTGGGCAGGACACCATCTGTTACCAGAAATTTTCTTTTCATCAAACTTGCCCCCATTAAGAGTCCTACTTAAGTAATGTCAGCTGCCCTCTATAATAACTCAATTCAGGGATATAGAAAGAGAAAAAGGCAGCTAAGAGGATCTTGTAAATTGCACCATCCTCCCTGAGGGTTTAATTTAGTCTTCTCTCTGGTGAGAAAATTAGTGGAATAAATTTATGTATAATATAGGAAAAATGCTGTAGAGAAAACTGATGATGAATGACCTTAGGTACCTTTGAGGAAATTGTTTAGTAGGATTGAAAACAGTTTTTTTCTGATAGCTTTTTTTAGTAAATTTTTGTTTCCTCAGATCTTTCTTTGTGGGGCCGGGGCTATGACTCAGTGGCACAATGCCTGTCTGGCAAGCACAAGGTCCTGAGTTCAATTGCCAGTACCAAGAAAAAAACCTTTTTTTCTTAGGCATATTTTTAATTATTTAGAAACCTTTAGTGATAAGATTCCTTAGTTCCTTTTTGGACTATGAAATATATTTTGTGTATATATTGACATATGTTTATATAAAGTGCAGCAAGTATACAATTGTTATTACTGTAAATGTCACTATTGTGGCACTAAATTTTTTATTTTTATTATATCAAAGGTCCATGACTCCAGCTCAGGCTGACTTGGAATTTCTGGAGAATGCCAAAAAGTTGTCTATGTATGGAGTTGATCTTCATAAAGCAAAGGTAATGATAACTTTATGCATTTAATTACACAGGTCTGTTATGTATGTATCACACTTGTGGCATATAATATTTCCTATCAACACTTACCTGGGGTTTTTAAAACATTTAAAGAATTCTTTTTTTTTTTTTTGTACTAGAAATCGAACTCATAACCTCACCATTGCCAGGCTGGTGCTGTGCCCTCAGCACTTCATGAGAATAAAGTTTCATACCTAGTTAAAGATCAAAAGATGTAGCACACCGAGAAAAAAAAATTATATTTGTTTAAAATGCTGTTACATTAAAACATAAAGATGGACAGCAAGGCATATATCATTGCCAGTATCACCTATGTTAGAATCACCTGGGGTGTGATTCCTGAGCTCCTCCCAAATTTATGGACTTACTTTGGAGGAGAGGCTGTAGCGTTTCCAGATTGAATGAGCATCCTAACTGTTTTTGATGCCTGCTTGAATCTGAGAACCATTGGCCCAGGGTAATGGTTCCCAAAATGTGGTCAGCAGCATTTAGCATCACCTAGTAACTTGTTAGAAATGCATGGTTCACAGGGCTGGGAATATAGCTCAGTGGCAAAGTGCCTACCTGGCAAGCACAAAGTCATAAGTTCAATCCCTGGTACCAGAAAATACATAAATAAAATGCATAGTACAGTATCCTTCCCATGCTGAATCAGAAGCTAGGGGTGGGTCTCAGCAATCTCTTTTAACAAGCTCTCCAAGTGTAATTTTGATGTAGACTGAATAAACTTCAGTAGTTCAGTTAAGAACCATTAGGTTAGAATACTGAAAATTTAGGCTTTATTTTTCCTCGGTAGTAGGGATTAAACTCAGGGCCTTTCACACTGAGCTATGTCCCCAGCCTTTTTTATTTCATATTTTGAGACAGTCTACCTAAGTTTTCTACATGGTACTCAAACTTGGAATTCTTTTGCCTCAGCCTCCAAAATATTATAGGCACTTTATATCTAATTCTGCTTGACAGTGTAAGAGTGAATACTTAAGGCAAGTTGCTTGGTTTCTTTCTTTCCTATTTAGTTAGTAGACCGGCTGGGGATATCAGAGAGATTGTGAAGAACAAGACTCATGGGAGTAATCAGACATTCATTCAGAGGAAATTAACCAGTGTGCATGATGAGCAGATTTAAAATTATATCCAGTAAGACACAATCAAAAGAATATGGGTACTTAGCCCACAAATAGAAAAGTTCTGGGAAGATATAATATCTTTCTTTGTATATTAGAAAGATTGGATTGTGAGGCAGAGATTTTACTGTGGCTCCAAGACATAAATCTAGAAGTAGTAAAATGGAAACCATAGGGAAATAAGTTCAGCTGAGTTGACAAATTGTCTAGCAGAGCTTTTCAGAGATGGAGTGGGCTACCTCAGAGGGTATTGAGCTCCCTGCAGGTGTTCCAGAGTAGGGAGAATAATCACTGAGTTGGAATTTAGAAAAGGACATTCAAGCATCTGATCTGTGATTGGATAGGATAACCTTTCAGGGCTTCCCAGCCCAGTATCTGTTTCTTCCTTAAGTTCCTAAAGTTTCAATGCATGTTTGTGCTTTTTCCTTAAGATGTTTCTCTGGATTGTTTTAAGCTGAGTACTGTAACTTCTGTGAATCTCTAAAGTAGGTGGTAGGAATGTTAGTACATTAGATGAGGTGTGTGTCCAGAACTAAAATTGTTAGGTTTTACTTCTTATTTCCTGTTGAGCCTGATGTCAATCAGGAATGGGTGGAGTCAGACAATATGTTCCTTTCCCAAATGTTGTGAAGCAGATTGTTACTCTTAAAAAAAAAAAGATGTACCCACAGACTTCAAAATCTTAAGAGGGCCTCTGCTGGTAAATTTTCAATGAATTAATCATTGAATTAAAGCTGTATATAATTTCTGCATCTTTGTTATGCTTGTATATAACATCAGTGGGCACTAATATTTTTCTGTGTAATTATTTTAGGAAAAAGAGTAGTCAAGAAGCTAAACAAATAGTGATTCATAGAGGTAACACAGGTGAAATTTATTTTCCATGAATGACATAAATGGTTACTATTTTAAAAATTTCTTTAGGGGCGTGTAAATATGGCTTCATTTTGCCTTAATTTTTCTTCTAGGCTCAGTGATTTTAATTTAATACACAACATCAAGTATCCTTTTTATTTTTTTATTTGAGACAAGGTTTCACTATGCAGTTTAGACTGACCTTGAACTCACAGCAATCCTGCTGCTTCCCAAATGCTGGGATTACAGGCATGCACCACTACACCCGGCCTAACATCAATTGTTTTAAGAATCTGAGATTCTCTTACGTTGAGTTTGTATAGCAATAGAGTCAATTCTTAACATCATATCTGAAGGAATTACCGTTTTATCATGAAAAAATATTCTAATTATGCATGTGTATCTGGTAGCATACATGGCCCTAGGCCCTGCCCTGGCTGGTTTAAGCATAATACTCTCTGATTTAAGCATAGTACTCTCATGGATTATGGTGGTTATTTTTTATCATTTGCTTTGAAACTGCTTTTGGTTGTTAATGTCTTCAGATTATATAATAATCATCAATGATGTATTAAGCACTAGAGACTGAAATGTGGGTTACTTCTTTTTTAGGACTTGGAGGGAGTGGATATCATCCTAGGTGTCTGCTCTAGTGGCCTTTTGGTTTACAAAGATAAGTTGAGGATTAACCGTTTTCCTTGGCCCAAAGTACTGAAGATCTCTTATAAACGTAGCAGCTTTTTCATCAAGATCCGGCCTGCAGAGGTACAGAATATTTCTACCAAACCAAATACAGTGTTTAAAGCATCTCCTCATTCCTATTCTCCTTGTTATATCAGCCAAGAGGTCTCTCTATAGCTGAATGTTATTTTGTTTTCTAAATGGATCAGTACTTTAATGCATCTTTTCTTTCTTATTACTGTCTTCTGGACATTTCTCTTCCTATAAGTAAATATACTATTGCTAAAACTGAAACCTGGATTGATAAACTTGTTTCTTGTTTACTCGAGGCAGAAAAATTGATGGGAAAAAATTTAAATTGAGTTGCATGAGATTTAAAAGCTATATGTGGGGTTAAATTACTCATATTTTACACTACCAAACCCTTACCTTCTATAATTTAAATTTATTTGTATACATTGGTTACTGGGAATGTATTCTAGGGTTAAATTCCACATTTGATGGAGGGTGAATTGAATCCATGGCCTCATGCAAAAGTTCTAGAATTTAAATAGAGGATTATGTTCAACCTTTTACCAGGTAACTCAATTATTAGTTGGTAGTCAAATTTCAGAATATATTAACGCTGGCAATTTTAACTTTTATACTAAAGATCTATAACAGTGCAAAACTGCTTAAGTGGGAATTAAATTTTTTAAAAATGCCACTTACTAAGCAAAAGACTGGGCAAATCTAAAGTTAAGCTTCCTTATCATTGAAGCATTCCTTTTCACTCCTGCTTTGAAGATCAAGTACCAAGACAACTGTGGCAGCTCTAAACAGAAGAGAGCCCTTCTGATGGAAGGTGGCTTTTGTGTGTGTGTGTGTCACCATCTGCTGGCGAAAAATGGCTCACTACATGAACCTGGAACATTTGGATGTGCTGCCTTAAAAATCAGATGGAATGAATGTATTATTGCTCCTTCCTGACCTAGGAAAGTGGGAAGCTGCCCCAATTTCTTTCCCCATGTGTTCCCAGAAGACTTTTTTTTTTTTTTTTTTTTTTTTTTTGGCACAAAAGTGGCAGCTGGGTCAGTACTGGGGATAAAGCTGGCCTTGAGATGGCAGGGCCCCTCCTCCTACTTTTTCCAGCCTGCAGTGTTAGCATCTGTGAAAGGACAGTTATTCTCTCTTAACAAATAGGGAGTGGCGGGCTAGGGAAATGTCTTGCTGATGCTGGCCCTCCAGGTCCCCCTTCCCACTTGCCAGTGTGGTGGCATTAGAGGGGCAGACACGACTGAAGTGCATTCACACTACCCCTGCCTGCCACAGCCCACTGGGAAAGGGGGGACACTAGGGAAGGGAGGATGCTCTTCCTGTCTCTTCCTACACCTTCTCCCCTAACTAAAGAAATCCGAGCTTGGAAGCCTGGTGAAGCCTTAACTCTGGGAGGAAGTATAGGGGGAGCCCTTTTCCACCCTGTCTCCTCTCAGAGTAGTCTCTGTTTATAAACTCGGAGAGCCCAGCCTAAGAACTCAAACCCCCACAATTGTCCTGTCCCAATCTTCCTGGGCCCAACTGTGCCATGTCCCGGATTGGGGTGGTACAGGGATCCTTCTGGCGTCGCTTGTCTGCCTTGTACCCTCAGTCCCTTCCTACCTTTCTGTGTGACTTCCTTTTCCTTCTACCTGCCCCTGTAAATACCCCCATTAAACCTTTGCTTGCATTTTCCCTGAAAAAATAAAACTCGGGCAGGTATTATCATGATGTATTTAGTTTGTACTTTTTTCTTCTTTTTGTGGTGCTGGGGATCAAACCCAGGGCCTTGCGTATGCTAGATAGAGCTCTCGCAGTTTTCTGGGTGCTGTATCCCAATCCCTACACCATAACTATTGACCTGTACCTAGTATAGAGCATCAGTGTCTTCCCTCAAAGTTTCAACTCCAGCAAAAATTTATTGACTGCTTTCTTGGGTCAGGCACTGTTCTAGGGGCTAGAAATCTAACAGTAAACAAAAGCATTATATCTTTCAACAGTCTTACATATTAGTGTGAGAAGACAGGTAAAAATGTATGTGTTACTGTTAATAGGAATGATAATAGGAAGACCTTAGTCTTTACAACTGTCAGTATATGTGAAAATGTAGCATTTGTCCTTAATTAAAAAGCAATCAAGAGCAGGATTCTGAGAAGTAGAGTACTATGACTAATATAGAAGATTCACAGTGGAGAAGGTGACATGGTTTTGCTATTTTGTAGCTGTGAGACTGAACACTTAGGTTGTCTGATGCGTAAAAATACAGACAAATTGATCTAATATACTGGTATTCATAACAATAGGCAGTCAAAACTAATGTCGTTTTCTATCTTATGAAGGTTTCTGCTTAAGGCAGAAACAGAAAGGCAAGAGACCAACAGAGTGGTGTTTCTAGTATGCCTGGAAGAATATGGTTTGCTTAGTCCAGGAGATATCTAGACAAATTAATGACCAATCAAAAGAACAAAGAGAAAATATTCAGTAATTTAAGAATTTGGGAAATAATTCAAGAGACCTATTATATAACATGGTGACTATACTTAACAGTGTATTATACTTTATTCTTGAAAATTGCTAAGAGATGCCAGGCATGTGTGAGGCCTTTGGCTAAATCCCCAACAAAAAGCCTGCCCCCACAGGCTAAGAGTAAATTGTAAATATTCTCATCACAAAGAAAGATATGACTTAATATATAAATTAGCTTGATTTAGCTATTCTATAATAAATGCATTTTTAAAACAACTTGCCTGAACATAGTAAACACGTGCAACTTTTATTTGCTAATTCTTTTTTTAATTATTTTTTCAGTTTTGTTTTTTATTAGTACATGTTTGCAGTACATGATGATTACAATCCTTATGTAGAGTTGGCCTGTGTACATAACACATCTCCCTCCTTGATCCTTCTATCTGTTGGTCCTCTTCCCATTTGCAAAAGCTGTCTTGGGCCAGGGATACAGCTCAGTGGCACAGCACCCACCTGGCAAATGCAAGGTCCTGAGTTAGATTCCCAGGACCAAAAACAAAAAACAAAAACACCTCTATCTCTACTTTTTTCCAGTTCTTTTTTTTTAATCTCGTTTTCCTCCTTTCCCTTCCTTTTATCTCTAATTTCCCTTCTCACTTGAAAAATATCTTTCTGCTTACTACTTTTTATTTTGCTCTTTATTTATATTTCAGGTTCCTCATATAAGAGAGACCACACAGTATTTAAGTTTGCTTGTGTGATTTATTTCATTTAGTAAATTGTGGTCTCAATATGTATCCATTTACCAGTGACTGAAGTTTATCCTTCTTAATGGGAATATAAATATATATTTCCATTGCATATAAATACAGAAAACTTTTTTCTTGTTCTTTGTTTTTTTGAAACAAGTTCTCACTAGTCGTTCAGGCTAGTATTGACTTCACCATGCAGCCTACTCTGGCCTTGAACTCATGACAGTCCTGCCTCAGCCTTCCCAAGTGCTGGAATTGGAGGCATGCACAGCCTGGAAAACTTTTCAAATCATAGTTTGTTCTTAAATTGCTAACATTCTTATGTTTATGACTTCCTTGGTGGAACCATATTTCTATGTTATTTTATCAGTGTGATCAAATAATATTTCATGTTTATTTGTGTGTTTTTAGCAAGAACAGTATGAAAGTACCATTGGATTCAAACTTCCCAGTTACCGAGCAGCTAAGAAATTGTGGAAAGTCTGTGTAGAGCATCACACATTTTTCAGGTATTAGTCTCACTTAAATATTATTTAAGGACAAATTTATGTATACATGTTTCTATTTTAAGTTGCTATTGAAATTTTCTTCATGTGATTGGCACTTTTACATAGCTTAGGTTGGATCTTCTTAAAACAAAATCGGGTCTCCCCCATTTGGGCTGAGAAGCATACCTCAGCATTCTCAAAGCCCCTTCCTGGGTACAGTAGGAGAGAAGTGAGGAGCAGGAATCTTTGTTTGCTAGGTGGTATATGATTGTCCTAACTAGCTAAAAGCAGACCTAGATTTGAACTTTGTTACTGTCCAGTCTTCTAAGTTTGGTTGTTCAATTTCCTGTGTCTATAAAATGGTGAAAACATTACAAGGATGTAGTGAAAACATTGCAGTACTATAAAAGCATTTTGAAAAACCAGAAGATGCTCACTATAAAAATATAAGCTAATATTAGTAAGATAGGTCCCAACTAAATTTTGATTGCTTTCATGTATGACATAGAACTAAAATAATGATTGCTTGATTGAAAAATCAGTGTAGCTATAGTTAAATCATGAAAATTGTGAAACATTTTTATTCTCGATTTTATTTTTACCTTTACAGTCTCAGAATAAGATACAGATTTATTAATTATGTGACTATTAATTTTTCCCTGGAGAAAAAAGAAGCAGGACTTGTCATGTACAAGTACAAATTTCCTGTGATGCATGTTATTATTATATATATCTAAGATGTATCAATAAAATTTTTCTAAAAAGTACTTTTTCCCCCCAGATTGACTTCTACAGATACCATTCCCAAAAGCAAATTTCTTGCCCTGGGTTCCAAATTTCGATACAGTGGCCGGACTCAAGCTCAGACCAGGCAAGCTAGTGCTCTAATTGACAGGCCTGCCCCACACTTTGAACGTACAGCAAGCAAACGGGCATCTCGGAGCCTTGATGGAGGTTTGTATTGAATATTAATGATTTATTGTAATTGAATTATATTTGAATTGAATTGTAATTCATTACAAAGATAAAATAAGTATATAGTTATCTATAGGAGAAACAAGTTTTCTCAGATTTACAGAGAATCTCTGTGATAAAATGAAAGAGATTTTATTAATTATCTGATTTAGTGGAATCTATCATTTTTATTTTATTTTTATTTTTATTTTTTTGGGACAGTCTCACTGTACAGTTCAGGTTGACCTTGAACTCACTGTGGAACCCAGCCTGGCTTTGAACTCATGGCGATCCTCCTGCCTCAGCATCCCAAGTGCTGGGATTACAGGCATGTGCCACCAGGCCTGGCAAATCTATCTTTTTAAAAAGGAAAAGTAGTGTTCAAAGAGAATAGTGACTCAATTAGGAGTTCACTGGAATTTCACTTTGTTCAACCTCAAGTTTGTTCAGGCTCAAACCTGAAGTTTAGTGCATGGTGGGCAAGTGTTCCATCCTTGAGTTACATCACTTTCCCTTTTTATGTTTTATTTTGGGACAGGAACTCCCGAGTTGCCCAGACTTGCCTTGAACTTGCTGTTCTTCTGCTTCACCACCACCCCCTGCCAATAGCTAGGGTTACAGGCATGAACTACTGCACTTGGCTGTTAAACAGCTTATTTCCTGTCTCCTCTGTGCCGGGTATTGTTCTGGTCACTGGTGATACAGCTGTGAGCACACAAATGTGAAGCTCCATGGAGCTTTTGTTATTGTGTGGGTAGAAAGAGCAAAGAACAAAACAAAATAATTTTAGGTAGTGATGAATATGAAGAAAATAAAATGGGGAATGGGATAGAGAATATCTGAGGATAGGGAAGGCTGAGGAGGTATTTAAGATTGGGCTGTCCAATCTAAATTTAAAGGGTTTCCTTAAAGAGCTTCATTTGAGTTGAAACCTGAATTATAACAGTTATGGGAATTATGTCATCCCAAACCTGAAAAAAGCATTCCAGATGAAGGGTAGCAAGTACAAAGCCCTAAATGCACGAATGAGCTTGGCATGAGTCTAGATAAGGTCTGTCCTCCAAACCTTCATGTGCTGATGGACATCTTTGATTTTGTTATGTCTGATTCAGTACCCGTTGTTGTATGCAGCAATTAGGAACTATTATGTGGCTGAGGAATTCAATTTTAATTTCAATTTAAATAGCCACGTGTGGCTAATAGCTCCTGCATAGGTGCCACGGGTCTCGATCCTTGTAAACAAAGGGCAGAGGAATGTAAAATAAGGGCATTCAGAGAAGCAGGTAAGAGTCACCACAGGGAGTTTAGATTTTATTTTTAGTGGGAAACTATTAGAGAGAGCGATAAAATTCTGACTTCTATTTTAAAAGAATACTGATCACTAGGTAGATTTCACTGAAGTGAGGGTAAAACCAGAAGCATGTTAAAGCTGGTACTGGATCTAGGTGCAAGATGATGACTGCGTAGACTTGAGTATTGGTAAGAAAGACCTTAAGGGGTCAGGGATGGGCAGAGAGTTAGCTCATTGGCATAAGTGCCTGCCTTGCAAGTACAGGGTTGTGAGAAAGAAAAAAAGAAAGAAAGAAAGAGAGAGAGAGAGAAAGAGAGAGAGAGAGAGAGAGAGAGAGAGAGAGAGAAAGAAAGAACGAACAGAAAAAAGAAGTGAAGAAGTGGTTGGATATACATTTTGAAGGTAGGGGTGACAGTTGCTGATAAATTAAGTATTGGGGATGGTGAGGAAAAGGGAATCAAGCTTTATTCCTGGGTTTATTCATTTACTACAGCGAGAGAGACACTAGGAGAGGAACTTAGCTGGGATATAGAAGATTCTGTTTTGGATGGGCATCTAACCTTCTTGTACTGTATTCACCATGTTCGTGTAAGACCACTAGGCAGTTCCTTGCTAATCCTATCAGTCATCCTACACCTAATCAAGCTTGGGCATGAGGAACTATTTTAAGCCTCATTTTTTAGGTGAGAAAACTGAGGTTGGAAAGTTTAGATCACTTGTTTCATCTCACAGCTTTACCACCTAACCAGTTGCTAACCTAGAAGAAAAACCCACTACTGTCAATAGCACATCCCATGGTATTTCCCACTAAATGGGGTTTGATGGTTATGTAGATGCTATGCCTAATGTGTCGTTTCTTTCTGATAGCAAAAATAACCAAAACTTCAAGGGTTAGTGAACTTTGGAAAGAGGAACAAGTTTAAAAAGAACTTTACTTAATAGAAAGCACATCCTGACTGCTCTTTTTTTTTTTAGCTGTAGGAACCGCACAGTTCAATTTAAGGTATTAAATAGACATGATATCTTCTGTTTATTGACTAATACTGACCAATTATTATTAATTTATTCACTTTTCCTGGGGAGGCAAGATCTCCAAAACTTTGCCTTTGAAATACTCTAGTAATGTTTGAAAGTCCCAGATTAAAGCATGTAAGATCATACTAATAGATTACAGTTATAACTTTGGTGACTTGATCATTAGTATCATAATTTTAAGATTTAAAAAATTTTAGAATGATTATCACAGCTATCTAATTTTATAGAAGGTCTAAAGCCTAGGAAAGTATTTTGTCAAACTTAACATGTTTGTTAGTACAATGTAAGGGCACAATTCACATTATTTAGTACTCAGATCAATCCTTTTTTTCTTTGACTTAGTTCATGCCATCTCCTTCATGTATGTACATTTTGAGAATTTTTAAATGCCTGATGCTGGGCTGGGGATTTAGCTCAGCCGCATAAGCGCCTGCCTGGCAAGAGTCAAGTCATGAGTTCAATCCCCGGTACAAAAAAAAAAAATGCCTGATGCTAATTATTAACTAATCCTAATACTAATTACCATAGTACTTTCTACATTGTGTGCAGTAGATACATAAATATGAAAATAGCATGTTTTTTTCTATTTAGTTGAATGTGAGCTGAATTTTATATCTCAATTTTTGTGAAATATTTTGAATAGAAATTTCTGAGGCTACAGATGTAGCTCAGATGGAGAGTGTGCTTAACACACACGAGGGTTTAATCTCTAGCACAAAAAAAAAAGAAAGAAAAAGAAGTTCCTAGTACAACTATTGTTTCTTTAACGTGAGAGAAAAATACATTGAAAAAAAATTTTGTCAAATATTTACTCAAATCCTGACAACTAATAAAGTTGGGTATTTTTCATAGTATTTATATTTTATTTTATTTTATCGTATTTTTTGGTACCAGAGATCAAACTCACAGTCTCATGCTTGCCAGGCAGGTGCTTATGCCTGAGCTAAATCTTGGGCCTTTTTCATAGTCTTTAAACTATTTGCGAATTATTCTTTCTAAAGTGCTTGTTCAGATCTTTTGTTCGTAATTCTGTTCAGTTGTCTGTTTTTAATAGTAAGGTATTTTTTATATAAAAATACACATCTTTTGTCAGATGTACACATTAGAAATATAGTCTACTCTTTTGACTTGCTTTCTTATTCTTAATATTTCTTTTAATGTACTGAAATTCTAAATTTTACCATAGTTATATAGTCCAATTTATTTATTTGTTTTTATTGTGAGGAATTTGAGAGTCCTAGTTAAGTAATCTTTGCCTCCTATGAGTGGCCAAGAAAATATTTTCCAATATTTTTGTGAAAACCTTTGCTCATTTGCATTTCATATTTAGATAAACATTGTATCTGGAGTCTGCTTTTATGGATGAAATATGAGAGAGGTCAAAATTAATTTGTTAGAGATTCAAGACACTGTATTTACCCCACTGAATTACAGTATTGTCTTTGTTATCAACCAAGTGGACATAATTTTGAGATTTTATTTCTGCTCCTCTAATCTGTTGTATTGATCTTGTCCCCTATCCTTGTGCCACTACCACCCCATCTTAATTGATCTGATATTGTAAGTTCTACAACTGTAGTCTTTAAGATTTAAGATTATCTTCCTGTTCTTAGCTTTGATGTTTTCTTACATATTCTAGAGCCAGATTTTCAATTTCTATCAAAAAAGTTTTAGGAATTTCATTGGGATTGCAGACTATATAGATCAGTTTGGAGGGAGTTGGTAATAAGATGTTGGGTCTTTCAGTCTGTGAACGTGGCCTTTCTGTCCTGTGATGATTTGATCTTATCTAATTAATGTCGACAATATTTTGTGGATTTTAGGGTGAATGACATTCATTTTGGGAGGGAGGGAAGTTGGTTTTGAAATAAAGTCTTACAAGGCAGTTTAGGCTAGGCTTTAGGCTAGGCTTGAACTCACTGTGTAACCCCTCACTGGCCTCAAACTCACAGCAATCCTCCTTCATCAGCCTCCCGAGTGCTGGAATTACAGGCATGAGCCACCACACCAAGTTGTATTTTTCGTTAGGTTTAGTAATAGGTATTTGAAAGTTTTTGCTGTTAAATGGTATCTTTTAAATATTTTCTTTTTGCTTTGCTACAAAAAAGTATTGATTTTTCTAGTTTGACCTTGTATTCAGTGACTGTACTAAATACTTATTAATTTTAATGGTTTATCTATGGGTTATTTATTTTGTGGTAGAAAAGATTGAACCCAGGTCCTCGTACATGCTATACACTCTACCACTAAGCTATACCCCTAGCTCTATCTGTGAGTTATTTTGGGTACACAGTTAAATGTATGCAACATCAACCAAAAATAATAATATTTACATTTCTTTACCAACTTACTTTTAATTTTTTAAATTGTTTTATTTTTGGTTGGGACAGCCAATGTAATGCTGCATAAAAGTGTTAATAATTAGATCTTTCAGTTTCAGGGAGAAAGCTTTGTTATTGCATCATTAAATATAATGCTTGTTCTAGGTTTTGTGTAACTACCCTTAATCAGATAGAGAAAATTTTCTCTTTTTTCCTCTTCTCTTCCTCCTCTTCCTCCTTCTCCTCTTTTTTTTTTTTTTTTGTCTTCTGCCCTCTTCTATCCCCCCAACATCTGTGTCTCTGTCTTTTTTTTTTTTTTTCCAGTATTGGGGATTGAACTCAGAGCCTTCACA